ATTTGAAGCCAGGTTAGTTTGACCACAAAGCACTGTTATTAGTTCATATGCTGTTTTTCCATCTGGCCATCTGGCCATCTATCCAATAAACACTTCCTGTACTTGTGTGTGCCAGGCAGTGATTTAGGCATTAGAAGTACAATTAAGAAGAAAGCAGACAACCCTGGCCATGTGGCTCAGTTGATGGGGACATGGTCCCATATGCCCAAAGCACCAAAAGGTTACAGGTTTGATTCCCAGTCAGGACATATTCCTAGGTTGAGGGTTTGATCCCCATCAGGGTATGTGCAGGAGGCAGCCAATCAACATTTCTTTTTCTCCTGTCCTCTCTAAAACAAAGGTTATCCTCTGGTGAAGATTTAAAAAAAGAAAAAAGAAAAAACAGATAAAAACACTCTCTTTATGTAGTTTATATTTAGTTGGGGGAGACAGACAACCAACACAATATATTAGATGGTGATCAATGCAATGGAGAAAAATAAGCCAGGAAAGAGGCATGGGTGGGGTTGAGAATTGCAGTTTTATTTATTTTTTTAATTTTTTATTTTTTTAATATATTTTATTGATTTTGTACAGAGAGGAAGGGAGAGAGATAGAGAGTTAGAAACATCGATGAGAGAGAGTCATCGATCAGCTGCCTCTTGCACACCCCCTACTGGGGATATGCCCGCAACCAAGGTACATGCCCTTGACCGGAATCGAACCCGGGACCCTTCAGTCCCCAAGCCTATCCATTGAGCTAAACCGGTCTCGGCGAGAATTGCAGTTTTAAATGTGATGGCCACTGAAGGACTTGCCAAGTGTTTGCATGCTTGGGAAAAGGTGTTGGGTGCAGGGCACAGGAGGCCCTGGCAGAGAGCGCCTGGTGTGTGAAGCAGGCACCACCAGGGCCAGAGCTGAGTGAGAGTGGTGGGAGATGGAGTGAATGATCCAACTTCTGAATGGATTAGCATGATCATTCTGGCTGCTTTGATGAGAATTATGATATGGGAACAGGGGAGCAACAGGGAGAACAGTAAGGCATTCAACAACTTGAGGTGAATGAGGCTTGAGTAGTGGGCGAGTGGTGAGAAGTGGCTGGATTCTGGACACATTCTGAAGGGAGAATAAGGATTTGCTGATGAGTTGGACCTGGGATGTGAAAAGCAGAAGAAAAATAATGACCTCTAAAGAGATAAAATTTAAACTTACTCCCATTTTACAGATGGGAAAAGTGAGGTTGGAAAAGGATAAGTGACTTGCCCAAGAACATTTTGCTGGAAAGTTCATAAAGCTAGTATGATTTCGCAGGTATCCAGTCAAAATTCCATAGCCTTTCCCTGTGCACATCGCCTCTCTCCCACCCTGGGCCTCCTGCCCACCGGCCTTCCCCCAGTCTTAGAACCCTCCGGTTTCTTCAGTGCTCAGCGGATTACTAATCTGTGTTGAAGTATTCACTGTTGTAATCATTGGAAGCACCAACCTAAGCCGTTTTTCTAAGTGTTTATAATAGCAACTCAGAGATTATTCAATATGTGAAGTCCAAATCTGTTTCCAAAGAACTTTATTCCAGAACCTCCTATAAAGGCTTGGCCTGTTTTTCAGTGGTATCCTTTTTTCATTAAACTTGTAAATTGCGGATTTGTACATCATCACTGCTGGCTTTTATTCTCCTTTACTGATTATCACAGCAATAGCCAGATCCAATGTAAAGGAAGTCTCCTTAGGAAAACCTGGTTCAGTGGGTCTCTGAGGGAGAAAGTGCCATTTTCAGAGCTTTGCTGTGGGTAAGAGGCCCAGATGCCTTCATTTTTCTGAGCTTTTCTTCTTCGGGCCAGCTGCAGCTGACATGTCATGAGGAGCCATGCGGCTGGAGCCAGGCTGTGTCGATCAGTGCTTGCTAAAGCTGGAGGTTCCTACCACTCTGGGCCCATACAGCCCCGGGGGTTGTGTGTACCCTCCTCTCCCGGGCCCATTGGGACATTTCTGTTGTCGACCTGCCTCGTTGTAGGATGATAATCTGGGCAGCTGCTCCAATGACTCCAGATAGATAAGACTCAACTTTAGTGTTATCTCCTCAGTAGTCTAAGACAGACTTGTTTGTCTTTGGAAAACTTTATAATTTACTTCTTCAACACCGTCTCTCTTCCTCACCCAAACACACACACTAGGAAAGTGCACTAGACCAGGTGGCCCTGTGTTCTCTGCCAGCAAGCACCCACCACAGCATAGGGGGTAGAAGGTACTGTGCCCTGTCCAGGCTCACACGCCCTTCTCAGTCAGGGCGGCCTAAATTTCTCCTCAGAATGCTGCCCAAAACCTCCATCGCTGACAACAGGAGCACACTAGCTCTGTAGTCCTGAGGGAAGTCCCCTGAGAGAGGGTCCTGGTGTGTGCATCAGCCCCTATCAGGGATGGACGTATGCACACGCACACACATATAACACAGCTGGCTCTGTTGCCCTTCTGCCTGCAGTCCCCTCACCTGGCCCATTAGCAGTGCTGGGGGCCAGGTGCTGCCTCTCTCAGTGCGTCAGCAGGCAAGCTGGCGTCTAGAAGGCAGTGCCAGGTGTCTGCAGAGCTTTTATCTGCTTCTTGGCTTTGTGGTCAAGTTCAGGAACATTTGTTCACTGCAGTTTCTTCCTCCCTCAGGCAGCTCACTTTCACTTTTACCTCTCAGATATAGGCCCTGCTCTTTCCTGAGTGAGATGGGCTGGGAGCAGGGAGGAGAGAGTGGGGTGCAGGAGGGTGCCAGGCACCATGTGGTCTGAGCCCAGCACCCTCCTGTCCTCCACCTCCGCTGCTTAGTCACCAGCACATCCCAAATTCACTGACTGCCCAATATCCAGACCATCCTCACTGTAAACAGACCTCCATCAGCCTAACTGGGACACAGACATGCGAATGGTAGGCTGTGTTTCTCCGTTGGAGCTGCTGCAGAAGGAAGGACTAAGGAGCAACTCTGAAGGGGAGTGACTGCAGCTGGGGTGTGGGGTTTCCAGGTGCAGAGGAGCACCCCAGGCTGTGGGAAAGCACATGTAAGGCATGGGCCCTTGTAGAGACCTGGCTTGGGCATTGCCAAGAAGTGTTCTGTCCAGAGCGTGGGCCCAGAGGCCGGCCACTAGGAGAGTGAGTCCAGCTTGTGGACTGCACTGGCCGTCTTCCTTCCACCATTGCACTTTGTGTGCTAAGCGTGTCTCTTGACATCATCATTTGTCCTGTCTGTTCAGTGCTAAAAATGCATTCATGGAGCTTGTTTTCACGTTTATTACCCTCTATTGTTGCAATTCTTTTTCAATTTGCTGTAGGTATTCCAATAAGCATTCTAGTAAGAATTCTAGTCTCTGTTTACAAAACGTATTGCTTTAAAAAAGTTGTCCACAATAGCATAGCTGAAGTGATTGGAAGGGAGGAGAGCTGTGAGGGCCTGGGTGGGACCCAGAGCTCGGGGCATGGGCAGGGCTGGCCACACATGCCGAGCAACTGAAATGTGGCCGAGCAACTGAAATGTGGCCGGTCCAGATGGGCTGGGCTGAAAATGTAAACTGTCCATCTAGTTTTAAAGGCTTAGTACAAAATAAACAATAAAAAAGAAACCATTAAAAAAAAGAAAGTTGTTCTGCCCTGGCCGATGTAGCTCAGTTGGTTGGAGCATCATCCCATATGGAAAAGTCACAGGTTGGACTCCAGTCAGGGCACGTACTAAGTTGTGGGTTCGATCCCCTGTGAGGTGCCTACATGAGGTAGCCAGTTGATGTTTCTCTCTCTCTCAAATCAATAAGAACATATCCTCAGGTGAGGATTTTAAAAATAATTTCTTTTAAAGAAAGTTGTTCTGTTTAGAAAGTAGACCTGTTATTAGAAATTTAGTATCGTAAGTCCTTGATGAAAACAAAGGCAGACAGCCCCCTCCCACTGCTCAACCTTCCCGCCATGTTCTGAATTTTTATTTCCCATGGCCATTTTGGATCCGGCCTCTGCCCCACCAGCCCTGCTCCCGCCACGCTCGCTGCCATCACCACAACTAACTCTCTTTATTGAGTTTGCTAAGAGCCTGACACACATAATCTCACTTGATTCTCTAAAAAGAAAGAAAATACTTTTTACAACAAAATGTAAAGTTCAGAGATATTAAATTGTGTGGTTAGGGCCACCTGCCTGCAAAGGGGCAGGGCCAGAGTTCAAACCCGGCCCTGTGACTCTAAACCCCTCACTCCCATACTCAGCCTGAAAGAGCAGCCCATGGCCGCCAGCACTGGCTCTCGAATCCCGACAGGCAGTGTGCTCCCAGCTTGCTCTTCCAGGCTCGTCTCTCGGTAGATGTGCTGCTGGTGCATCGGATCTGGCCACGTTTCGTTCCATGAAACCGTTCCTGTCCCCTTCACCAGGATGTTCTGTTATTGTTTAAATCCCCTTTGCTTGATGTCAGGTTAGCCTTGGTGAGAATAAGCCACTGTCCAAAGAAAGAAAATCTGAATACCAAGGTGGTTAATCTAAAACATTATACCCATCGTTAAAAGGTCTTTTTCTTTTTTTGGTAAATTCCCAGTTCTGATAGTGTGAGTTCCCATGTGAAAAACTAGTAAAAATGGCTACATGTTTTCACTTACTTATACTTCTGGGACCATTTGGTGTTAGTAGTGCTACTGCCTTACAGGTAAAAAAATGGAAACAAAATGCTTTTTTTTTTTAAAAAAATCATTATATTTTTCATTTCTTTTACTTCTCAAGCTTTATCAACATGTTGCTTAGAAACACTATCTATATTTCCAGCACACATTTCCTACTAAATCACACCTAGTTTATGCAGTATCCTAGCTCATGAAATAACACGATGTTAACATTGGCAATGTTCTTTGAATTGTTCCCCTTCCTATGTAATGTGTCTCTTAAACCCAGCCCTTTTTAGCATCAACTGCTACTTCTGGATTAAATGGGTCAATAGAAACTTTCTAATGATTTTGTCATTTAAAAATGTTTGTAGCTGTGTCTTTTAAACCGTGCCATCACTTTTTTTAAAGTTTCTTCAGATGGCGGTACTGAGTCCTGTGCCTTAGTGGATGACAACGGCAGCGAGGAGGACTACAGCTATGAAGACCTCTGTCAGGCCAACCCCAGATACCTGCAGCCTGGCGGGGAGCAGCTGGCCATCAACGAGGTACTGGGATCCCACACGTGACCAGTGGTGGACACTTGATACCAGGGCCAGCATCACTTCAGACTTTGCTCTCTGATTATTTTTTTTAAAATATATTTTATTGATTTTTTACAGAGAGGAAGGGAGAGGCATAGAGAATTAGAAACATCAATGAGAGAGAAACATCAATCAGCTGCCTCCTGCACACCCCCCTACTGGGGATGTGCCCGAAACCAAGGTGCATGCCCTTGGCTGGAATTGAACCTGGGATCCTTCAGTCTGCAGGCCAATGTTCTATCCACTGAGCAAAACTGTTTAGGGCTGATTATTTCTTATTGAATGTTCTAAAGCCTAGAACTTTGACTAAACAGTTTCTGGCATTTTCAAGGATAACTTATGTGATGAAGTTCCTCCTTTTATCTGATAAGAGCAGCAGTCATTAGTTTGGGCAGTGGTTCATTTTGACAAGCTCTCCCTTTATCATAAATCTCACAGCTGATCTAAGTGGTAAATGTTACAGTTAGCATCCATATTGTAATCAACACTCGGAAAGTAAGAGGCTAAATTACTTGCTGGTAAATGGCAGAGCTGGCATGAGCCACGTATTTCTCACTGCGAATCTTCTTTCTACAAGTATTCTTTCTACGAGTCTGCATCTTTAGCCGTTTTCACAGCAATCTTTCTAGAAGGCACCGTTAGCTTTGGAGTTCTTGACGCCTCAGTGAGTAGGCTGTGAGGGTGCCCCCGGGAGCTAAGCAGACATCGTCCTCTGCCCCTGCACTGGACTCACATGAGCTGCGTCTGTCCTTTACTTTTCTCTTGAACTGTAGCTGTAGGCTGTCTACAGATCATTCTGTGTTCTCTTTGGTTGCAGTGAACTATAAAGTGTTTGCAAGTTTGTGAAGTGTGAATGCTGAGTTCTGAGTGAAGCTGTGGGTCTCGCAGCTAAGCCTCGTGTGGTGTGTGACCTTCGGAGGCTCCGCTCGGTGACATCTTGCTTGGCAGCTCAGAAAGCTTTTCTCTGTGTATCTTCAAGATATTCAGATTTGTTCGTTAACTGATATACAGATAAATGAGCTATTTATACTTTTTTTTTTAAGTGAATTTGGGCTTTAAGATCATGTGAGAAAGACTCATCTAATTCTCTTTTCCCTAATATGTTTTTCTTCATTCATTTTGTGTAACAATCAGTAAGTACTGACCCAAAAGTTGGCGTATACAAATGAGAATTAGGAGATGTACATCTCGCCCTGAGACACCACACAGACTCCCCGCCCGCCCATTCTGCCCACCTGACTTTCACACTAAGCACGTCTGCATGTCTCCATTTCAGCTGATCAGTGATGGCAGTGTGGTCTGTGCAGAAGCTTTGTGGGACCACGTGACCATGGATGACCAGGAACTGGGCTTCAAGGCAGGAGATGTCATCCAGGTTCTGGAAGCCTCTAACAAGGACTGGTGGTGGGGCCGGAATGAGGAGAAGGAGGCCTGGTTCCCGGCAAGCTTTGTCAGGGTAGGTGTTGGCCCTCTCACACCTCACATCTGTCTCTGGGGAGCGGCAGGTAGAATGGTTCAGGCCAAACTCACTCTTTGTACAGATTCAGTTTTTTATAATCGTTTCAACCAAATCTAGAAATTCAACTGGGTCAGAGGAAAACTTTTAACCAAGGTAACTAACTAGTTGTTTGGCACTGCTGCTGTGTTTGAACCACTGGCGCCATACATAAGACAGGTGAGAGTCAGAAGCCATGGGGGGCCCCTGCCTGTGCCGGTGCCACCTCTCCCAACTCCCCATCCCTGTGTGTGCACTGCAGTTGCGTGTCAACCAGGAAGAGCTGTCGGAGAATTCCAGCAGCACGCAGGGCGAGGAGCAGCAGGAGGATGCCGGCAAGACCCGCCACAAACACGCTGAGAGCAAGCAGCAGATGCGGACCAACGTCATCCAGGAGATCATGAACACCGAGCGGGTGTACATCAAGCACCTCAAGGACATCTGTGAGGTAGGGCTCCAGACATGCGGCCTCACTGATGTGGTCACATGACTATGATATGTCCGCCTGGCTCTCTTCTGTTCCCAGTCACACCCTCCTATGCACCTCTGGCTCCTGAACACACTGCTCACTCATTACATATGCGTCTACCTCGGTGAGCTTCAGTGGTGAGCGTCATGGCCACCTGCTCGGCTGTTGCAGCCAGTCTCTTTCGGGGCCCTGCACCACTGTCTCTGTCAGCGCCGAACCCTGAGACTGTTCAGAGCGAGTGCCTGTCAGAGAGGGCAACACCTGTCAGTGAACCCACTTAATTTGACAAAAATTCAAAAGTTTGGCATTGTACAGCCCACTGCCACTAAAGTTGTCTCACAGGCGAGATACTGAGTCATTTAGATGTAAAAAAAAAAACAAACAAAACACTAGAGATAGCCAAAGCTATATTCCACAGCATCATGATAGTTCTTCTACGTGATACATTTTATTCCTCCTGTGGCATTTTTTGTTTTTGTGGGTTTTGTGTGAGCATTATACCAGTCTGTCCTGCTACGAGTGCTGACCTCTGCACTCTTCGTTTGGCTGGGACGTTCATCCCTGAAGACAAGCTGAAGTGAGACAGCCGCACATCTGTAACTGGATTAACCGGCCAGATGCAGATACACCAATGTTTTGTTTGTGCCGCCCTGTTCAGTAGGGATACATGGCTAAAGGAGTTTCTTTAAAGTGATATTCTATGAAGATGAAAGTAATTGCTAATAATTGTTGAGCATTGACTCTGTGCCACCTGGGTTTTAACTCATTTTACTCTCACAACACTCTCACTTGGTCTTGACCCGTGTACAGGTGAGGAAACTGGGGCGTGGAAAAGTTAAGAGGTAGGCTTGGGATTTAGACCAGGCAGTCTGCCCAGAACCTGTACCCTGAACCTTTACATTGACTTTCTAATAAAATTCTTTCCAACTAGTCCGTGGTGGGATTTTACCATAGAGTCAGTCTAGCCTATAATTAATTTGGGAATAATTATTACATATATTTGTGGCCTTTCCTTCTACCTCCCTAACTCCTTACCTAAGCTGTAGTACAAACTAGGTACATAATTAGTAGTTTTAACAAGTCTTCCTGACAGTGAAATAGAATCAGCAATAGGAGAATGATTATCTTAAAGTTTAGAAAAAAATATAACAAGGCCAATTTTTGAGCTTGTATTTGAAACTGAGCAACTTGTTTCATGAATATAATGTAGAAACTGTATAATGATAAATCCAGACACATACATCTTTTCTTTTTCCTTTTGTTTTTAAGACATGGCACATTTTAGTCATGGAAGTAGGATTCTCCTAACAGAGACCCATAGATGTTAAAGTAATTTCCTGTGATTAAAATCTGCTCTAAGACAATGGCTTAGGATGCAAAATATTGTATTATTCAAAGAAATAATTTCTATGAATTTCCAAATTTGTTTTTAAAAGCATATGTTCCCTTTTGCAGGGCTATATTCGACAGTGTCGCAAGCACACGGGAATGTTCACTGTTGCACAGCTAGCCACCATTTTTGGAAACATTGAAGATATTTATAAATTCCAAAGAAAATTTTTGAAAGACCTTGAGAAACAGTACAATAAAGAGGAGCCTCATTTAAGTGAAATAGGATCCTGCTTTCTTCAACATGTACGTCACCTGTTACTTTTTTATTAATAACATCTGGTTAAATAGTTTTGCAGCATTTCTTCATTAAAAATAGGAGTCTTTATCTCTCTCTCTCAAAAATAGGAGTCCTTTTTGTTTCTTTGTTTGCTAGATTAATGTCCCATAGAATGGAGATGTCACTTGTAAAGTAAGTTGATTAGTTTATGTGGTTAATCTTTAGCTAAATATACTAAGTCCATTTTTTAAAAATCTTCCCACTTTTATGCAGTTTGGTATAATTTTTAATAAGACCTGTTAATTATTATATGTTAAGCACTGTTTTCAGGATCTTCTTGTATTGGCCCCTGTACTGCTGTGAGGGAGGTATATTATTGTCCTCATTTTACATGAGGAATCTGAAGGCCATAGGGTAACTGACCCAGGACCACACAGTAGTAAGTGGCAGGAGGGAAAACCGACTGAGGCCTGTGGCTCTGGGACTCAGGCTTATGACCAGTGTAAATGCTCAGACCAGTCTTGTGATGATGGCACAAGCTGATCATATAACTGAGGATTGACTGCCACTATTTAATACCAAAAGATTTCAGAGAAGGAAGATTCTGTTCCCAGGCAAAATGGCCAGGGCCTAATAATAGTAATAACAACAGCAATGACAACCACCACCACCTCCTTGCAGCACAGGCTGGGTGCGGGGCCAGTAGCTTCGTAGAGGCAGTGGTGTGGAGCAGGTACCAAGGTGGTTGCTTTCAAATAGCTGAAAATAATGCTGAGGTGGGAATGCACGTGGGAAGGTCGAGCCCATGAGAGCACTGGGCCTGTCTGGGACTTTGTAAAAGACCTGTTTGGCCAGAGTAGAAGGTCCATGGAGGTTAAGAGAAGCTTTTAGTCACCGAAGGGCAGGCTGCAGAGGTGGCAGCGCCCGAGTGGGACGAAGCCCCAGTGGGTGGATCTCGCCTGGAGACAGGAGTGTTCAGCTGAGGAGCAGAGGGGTTGCTACTTCTGGGCCTGGGCAAGGTGATGGCAGTGGGAACACAGAAACAGGGAGTCTGTTCAACAATTCAGTATTTCCAGCTTAAAGGAAAAGTAAAAAGGACGAGGAGGGAGCTAGTTGGGCGTAAGAACAGCACCTTCTCTTAGATCAGAGCTGGGGTGAGGAGGGTGACAGTAGATGGCGCTGTTCTCTGGGGAAGCCCAGAGCACCTATGGCTCACCCTTTCAGGGGCTGTGGGAGGCTGCCTGGAAGGGATCAGGGCTCTGAGTCCTAGAGCAGCCTCTCCCTGCGCCCCCAAGAGATAAGAACCCTCTGGAGAGTCTGTGTATGGCCCCTTACCACAGAGAAGAGTTGGGCTTCTTGCCCAGGTGGGAAAAACTCTGCAGAAGGACTTGGGGCACCCTCTCCCTCCTCCCGGGATGCCCCCTTATACAAGCTTGTCCTTGTCTCAGCCCACAGCCCCCATAGCCTGATGACGCTGTGCTTTCCCCTTCCCAGCAAGAGGGCTTCGCTATCTATTCCGAGTACTGTAACAACCACCCGGGGGCCTGCGCGGAGCTGTCCAGCCTGATGAAGCAGAGCAGGTACCGGCACTTCTTCGAGGCCTGCCGCCTGCTGCAGCAGATGATTGACATCGCCATTGACGGCTTCCTGCTCACACCCGTGCAGAAGATCTGCAAGTACCCCCTGCAGCTGGCCGAGCTGCTCAAGTACACCACGCAGGAGCACAGGTGAGAGGCACCGGCAACGCCCATCTCCACCCCCCCGGAGGCCTTCAGCTCTGCCAGCTTCCCAGGGTGGCAGAGACAGAGGGTTCAGGTGTCAGGCTTCTGTTACTTCTGAAATAGGTTTATGGAGGCTCCAGAATATCCATTCCTAGAGATATCAACAAAAAAAAATAGCCCTGTCTGGTGTGGCTTAGTCAGTCAGGCACCATCCCTTACACCAAAAGGTCACCAGTTCAATTCCCAGTCAGGGCACATCCCCAGGTTGCGGGCTAAGTCTCCAGTAGGGTGTGTGCAAGAGGTAGCTGATTGATGTTTCTCTCTTTTTCTCTGCCTCTCCCTTACTCTCTCTCTCTAAAATCAATAAAAACATTAAAAAAAAAAAAAGATATATATGGTTTATGGTTTTAACAGTCTGTAAATAAATAAATAAATAAATAAGATTTGGGCCCTGGCTGGGTAGTTCAGTTGATTAGAGCATCGTACCAGTATGTTAAGGTTGCAGGTTCAATCCTCAGTCAGGACACATACAAGAATCAACCAATGAAAGTATAAATAAGTAGAACAACAAATCGTTGTTTCTCTCTTTCTCTCTCTCCTTTCCTCTCCCTATCCCTCCCCACCTGCTTCCAATCTCTCTCTAAATCAATTTTTAATAAAATAATATTTCTTCACTATATTCTGTGCACATGGGGATTTTTATTGTGTTATTGGTCCTATTATTGGCATATATTTATAAATACTCATTTGTAGCTACTCAGTCATTAATAAAGACAATTTTTAAAGAGAAATAGACCAATTGAATACAGTGTAAGAAATATTTTTCTCTCCTGTACTACTTTAGCTGCTTCCCATTAACTCACCCTTAGAGCAGTGTTACTTACTGCCAACAAAATGTTACTCTAAAGAAGGGGTGAGGACGTAGAAAAATTCGAGTTATAAAAAACAGAATCTCAAGGCCTAGGGGAGCATGTGGGGTCCACTTGGGAGGCACATTTCACAGATCCTGGTTGACAATGGTCTGGAAAAGTAATCTAAATCCTAAAACCTTGCCTGCAATGGTGGTGTCCCCACTGGCATTTCAGTTCTTCCCTGGTGAGAACGGTCATTGCTTATGTTTGACCAGAGTCATACCTGTCCGTGACACCTGTGTCACCGGCACAACTTTCACTGCACCCGCAGCCCTGGAGAGGACAGCCTGGGAGGATTTTAGGGGGAAGGGTATGGGAGGGGGGGCGGGGAGGATGGTGAGGAAATCTGCTGGAGCAAACACAACTGTTTTGGGTTTTAACAACTATTATTCGGAAGCAATCACATTCTCCAGGGCAGTGCCTGGCCTGCAGGGTGCCCAGAATAGATCATTCTTTGCCTGCTCTGCCACTGGTCACTGAACAGTTAATTCTAGATATGAATATTTAAAGAGTTAGGACTACAAAACTAAGAGAAGGGAGTTTATTGAAAGAACTACGTATTTTCTCTTTTTGATGGAAAAGTTTGGAAAGAAAGTCTTCAGAATTATAAATTTGAAGAAAATTTTTAAAAAGAATAAAAACTCATCATGATGAGAAACTAATAAATAAGAAGCAAAGACATATTGAAAGACCCAGGCAAGCAGATTAGATTCCAAGACGGGAAAGCTGTGGCCAGAAGTTCACACATCACCTTTTAGCAGTTAATGTTCACTGTAAGGAAATTGCAGATTTGGTCTGTGTGTGTGTTTTTGTTTTGTTTGTTTTGTTTTTCTTAATCATTTGAAAGGAAATAACATAAAGCCCATTTCTTTGTCTCAAGAGAAACAAAACGTGTTTTTTTTTTTTTTTAATTACACTGTTTTTGGGGTTTTTTTTTGTTTTTTTTTCTGGAATTGTATATATAAAATAAAATGAAAAGTTGCAGAAGAAAACAATTATCCTGCTGCTTTCTGCCTTGTTGGAGAGCTCTCCCGGCGCTGTGCTCCAGGATTTTGGCAGCCCCTTAAGTCATTTATCTTCTTCTGCTGCTCTGTGTGTGAATCGCCTGTCTGAGACACAGGTTTGCCTTCTAGGCAGGTGGCCAGAAACTTCCTGGGAGCTGCATGTCCTTGTGTTTGATAAATAAACAATAGGACCTGCTTCCAAGGCTTTTTTCTGGGCTTTGCAGGAAGATTCTCTCCTGCCCTGTAAGACGCATGAAAGTGCTAGAAAGTAAAAAAAAACTCAGCTCATCTACTGGACAATTGATTTACATATCCCCAAGTTATTCATGCTAAGCAAAACTTGGATGTGAGAGTTTCCAGTAGCGGATATCTCTTAGCCTATGTGCGGATTAGAACTCCAGTTTTAGTTCTTTTATTACCTATTAGAGGCCCGATATTCATGCAAGAATAGGCCTTCCTTCCCCTGGCTTCACTCCCTGCTGCCCAGAAGCCGGCGAGTCCTCACTTCTATGCAGAGCATACCACTTCTGTAGCTCTCTTTGCCACCCTCTTCCCCTCATAGCAGGCATCACGCCCCTCCAGGCCACTCCGCACCTGCATATGCAAATTAACTTCCATCTTTGTTGGATTAATTTGCATATCCACTCTGGCTGTGGGTGTAGTGGAGTGATGCTTAATTTGCATGTTTCTCTTTTATTAGGTAAGACAGTTTTAGAAGCCCTGGGAGCAGGAGCCTGCTGGGGCAGCATTTTAGTTTGATTTGACTGTAGCATATGGAAAGCACCAGAAATGAAGTTCTGTTGATGAAGTAAATGCCGCATTGGCGTTTACATGACTCATTAGGTGAACCTTCTGTGGCTGTGTCCTCTGGTGTCCTTTCCTGAACACCTTGAAAGATGGGACTCAGAGCAAATTATTACTCTTGAAAATGATTAGTGACTGTTAAAGTACTTTCTGTAGTCAACTTGCTATATCAGAACCAAAGCAATCACAGACTGCCCTTTATTAATGAAAATCATTCATTGTCACAGTGATAAAGACATTTCTTGTGGCATTTACTTTCATTCATGGTAATTTCTGGGAAATGAGGACAACATTCTTATTCCAAAGAATTCTGGATTGCGTTGGTCAGCTCCCTTAACCTACGCAGACTATCGCCTATTCATGGAGGAACAAGAAAAAGGGAACAATGGCTGCTGTTTAAATGCCATGTTGTCTAGACTATTAATATACAAATTGAGAAAGGAGTGTATTATTTTGTTGAGTAGCCTGCCATATGGTTAAAATTCACCTCTTATTTTCAGTGATTACAACAATATAAAGGCAGCCTACGAGGCCATGAAGAATGTAGCCTGTTTGATCAATGAGCGCAAACGCAAGCTGGAGAGTATAGACAAGATAGCGCGTTGGCAAGTATCCATCGTAGGCTGGGAGGTAAGTGGATACCACCCCCACCCCACATCATGCATCACCACTCACCCCCTCCCCACCTCTGGTCTAGTTTAATGACAGACTTTGATGTCCAATGATTGATGCTTTATACTCATGGCTTAATGGTGCACAGGCTTCTCTTGCTGTCCGGAATTAGCGTGTTCCTATGAAATGTTTAAATGCTGAAAAGATGCAAAGCCAAAGACCAACACCTTAGGACACCCCTTGCTAACAGATGCACAGAGGCCTGTCCGTGACATCTGGGTCCCGGCTCACAGCTTTCACTGCACAGATGCTCACAGATGCAGCCGGACTTGAGATGTGGGGTGTGGTTTCCTGGAAGGAGCTTCCTGGGGCCAAGCTTGACACTTGACACTCCAGTGCCGCTGCCTCTGTAATGGCTCCCTGCAAAGCCAACATGAATACTTATCACTTCTCCCCTTTTTTGGAAAAAATGAAAATTCTCTTTGGATTTCTTTCCATTAGCAAAAACAGGTACTAATGTAGGTCTTTAGTAAAAGTACAGTAGTATAAAGAGAACTTTCAAAAAGCAGGGGATACCTGTATATATTTTGAGGCAAATGATTGACTTGAAGTCAACTACTTTACCTTTTACTTCCACCAAGAAACACTCGGAGAAGTGTCTGTAATTAATGTATTGCCTGCTCTCCTGCTAGAGTGTGAGATTCATGAAGCAACTGGAGAAGATTTAAAATATAAATTGCAGTTGGTGAGAGTATGGACTATGCAGCCACCCTGCCTGTGTGTGAATCCCCTGTGACCTGGGCATGATCACTGTTCTCATCTAGGAGATAGAGAGGAAAATATTCCCTATCTCGTAGGTCTATTATGAGACGTATGTAAGACAGGGAAAATGCAATTTCCTTATACAGCCTGTAGTAATAGTCCAGCATACATGCGCGCGTATGTACGCGCGCGCGCGCGCACACACACACACACACACACACACGCACTTATTTCTAAAAACAGGAATGATGACAATAATAAGTAGCTGTGTTGTGTTTACCACATGCCTAGCACTGGTTTAAGCCATTTTCATGTATGAACTCATTTTAATCATCTCAACAGTCCGATGAGGTAGGAAATATCACACCCATTTAACATATGGGGAAGCTAAAGCACATAACAGTTAAGTGGCCTGTCATACCCACAGGGTTAGAAAGTGGCCAAACTGGATTCAAACCCAGGCCGGCAGCCTGTTGTTAGAGTCCATGCTGCTAACCACTAGGCTCTGTGGCCATTCTTAAGAATGATAAATTGGTGCTGTTCATATTGTTTTTAGAACATGCAAGATTCATCCTACATCAAACTAATAGGTAAAGCTCACTTTCCCCAAGGCTTGTGAAAGTTTGGGCTGAGAAGTTCGGTTTTCAACTAAAGTAGATAATAGTGATGAAAGGTGGAAAGAAATACTACTACTAGTATTTCAAGGCCTTACAGACTTCTGGAACCTAGACAGGCCCTCAGGGATCACTAGTCTAACTCTTATTTTGTAAGTGAAGAATCTAGGGCACAGAATTGCTTGAGGCAGGTAAATAGAAGAGGTATTTTGGAGTCAGGAGCTTTCACCTACAAAAAATGTTGTCTATGACTGAGATTAAAGAAGAATAAAATCTTCAATTTGTAAAATTTAAAGCCAGTGTCATGCCATATATCATAAAGTTCCATTGAATTAGACCCAAATCTAAATATGATAAAAGTGTGGTTTTCCTTCCATTCTTGGACTCTGACACTGAGGAGATTATTTATTGTCAGAAGTTTACTAGTTATCTTGCTGCTGACTTGCCACGTGGCCTTTTGTTTCCAAAGATCCTAAACGTGTGAGTCCAGGCAGCTGCCATAGGCCTGACTAAAGCCAGAGCATCTGTAGTCTGTCCCACTGAGGTTGTTCTCGGAGGATTGGCCTTGGTCAGCTGCCATATCTGACCTTGATCAGATTCTTTAGCCCAGCAGGCTCTCCACTGCTCTTTCTGATAAGGAAGACACCTCAGATAACAGAGGCCCTGTAACATTTTCCCATTTAGTAGGGGGAAAAAACACAAAACGCTTAACACGCAAGAAGACTAATAAAACCAAAGTTTCAGATAGCCTCTGAGGCTTGGCTGCCTGTGAATGGGCCTCAGGCTCAGGGGAGGCTTCTGGGCCAGGGCTCAGGGCTCAGGGCTCCTGGCACCTGGAGGTAAGAATTGGAAGGTCTCACAGTGTGTTTTCATCCTCCAGGGACAGGACATTTTAGACCGAAGTTCCGAACTGATCCATTCTGGGGAGCTGACCAGAATCACTAAGCAAGGCAAGAGCCAGCAGCGGACATTCTTTCTGTTTGACCACCAGCTCGTGTCCTGCAAGAAGGACCTGCTGCGCAGGGACATGCTCTATTACCGGGGCCGCACGGACATGGAGGGCATGGAGCTCGTGGACCTAGAGGACGGGCGGGACAAGGACTGGAACCTCAGCGTGAAAAACGCCTTTAAGCTCGTCAGCAAAACCACTGACGAGGCTCATCTGTTCTGTGCCAAGAAACAGGAAGACAAGGCCAGGTGGCTGCAGGCGTGGGCGGATGAACGGAGACGGGTGCAGGAGGACCGGGAAATGGGTGAGCCGCGCTCAGAGCCACCGGCTTTCGTTGGCCTCTGCTTTCTAACCTCATCCCCCAGCCTCTCCCACCTTTGGGAAAAGAAAAGGATTTTCAGATTCTAAACATTTCTAAATGCTCACAAGACAGGCTGTGGCAGATGTAATTACTACATGTAACATTTACGTGCCAGATGCTCTTCTACACATTTACAGAGAGCATCTCATTTCAAAACGTGGATACTGTTGCTGTACACATTTTACAAATGAAAAAAATCAAGGCTCAAGGCCCTGCACTGCAGTGAAGGCCATGCCTCTCCATACTCTGTCTTCTTCCCAGTTGCTGCTCCCCTCCAGGCGTTCACTGGCCTATGGGACACACCCTCCCACCTGGTGTTTACGGCGGGGCACAGTCTCAGCCGGGCTCCGGTGCCTCCCTGGCACATTAGGGTTTTGAGCACAAACTGTTGAAGGGAAGTCAGGTTGCCACAGGGACCATGGGCCCTGGATTCTCCTCTCTGCAGCCTTCCTGGGCCGGGACCCCCAGGCTGTGGTACAGGATGGAGAAGGCCCTGTCCCTCGTCTTCCCCGCCCTCTGCCATGAGGAAAGCCAGGATAAAACCAGCAGGTGCTCCATGGACTCCCATGGTGTGTGTCACCAGCACTGGCTCAGGTTGGGCCACAAATGTTGCTCTCGCCAGAGGAGGTTTCGTGGGCTGGATCATATACTAGTATTAGAGTAGAAAGGGCTTTACAACTCAGCCAGGCTGACTCACCAACAGCTGGAATCTCCTCTGAAACACTCCTAATAACTGAGCACTGGTCTGTACCTCGGCCTCTAATGACACAGAGCTCACTGCTGAAAGTGGCCCCTTCCGCTAAGTGGAAGTACCCTGTATTTATTCTGAGAGGAAAGCTGATCCCAAGCCAATTCCATATATTGGTGCAGCTTTTGACTCTCAGGCCTCATTGGAATAGGCTCATCACTCCATCATGCCGAGGATTCTTCAGATAGTTGAAGGCCACATATATTCAAATGCAAAATGAGAGAGCCACAAATCTTACCTGCTATGTCATGTTGTGTAGTGCAGACCCTGAAATCATAAGTTGGAGTGTTTTGGTTTTTCCTCAGATTTAACCACATATTACAAGGGCATTTTAAATACTTCTCAGTTCAGCACTTCCCTATTGCTGGTGCTCGAAAGAGAGACCGGAATGAATTAATTAATTAATACAGGAATGAAGGGATGCATGCACGCGGCACTCCTAGAACCATTAAATCTGTCATCTGGGTGAGAGTGGACAAAAATGGGACTGAACCAGACCCTTGCCTGGCATATTCTGTCAGCCTGCGTGCCCAGTACATTGTGTTTAGGTTGATCATAGAGATCATGGAGGTGGGAATAAGGCAAGGCCAGAGTAGGCCTCAGAGCAGTAGAAGCCAGGAGGCTAGTGTGTGGAGCCTGAAGGAGTTCTCAGGACTCATGAGGGACAGATGTTGAGCATGTTGAGAAGTCAAGGCATAGAGAGCAGAGTGACCCCAAGCAGCTGAGCGCAGAGCCCAGGTCCTCTTCCACCAGGTGGAGGCCTCCCCAGTCCAGCAGCCATGGCTCCTCTGCCTCTGTCCTTGCCTCTCTTCTCATGCTCTACAGTTGGAGTACAAAATTCAGTTCCCATTACTCAGATACCTTTGTTTAGGAGACAATCAAAACTCACTCGGCTTTCACAGTGAGTGAGCAGACCTGCGGCCCTTTGATTTGTTCTTCCTCCCAGAGCCTTATTTTTTAGGGCGAGAACAGGGGGACTCTATGTGACACATCTGGGTTTGCACAGGTATCTGTGCATCCTTCCCATCGCCCTTTTCAGCCTTTCCGGTATCCTAGCGATAGTCCTGGCGCCTTCCTTCTCTTATCCAGTCTTTCGACCTCTTCTAGTTCCTGAAGGACTAAGGTTCTTTGCTTCAGGTTATGGTGAATATCTCGGGATAATATGGGTTATGGGTTATGGGTTATAGAGTTTTAATCTAAAATGTTTTCACTTGTTTTGAATACATGTTACACCTTTGTTTCTAAATACAGGAATGGAAATTTCCGAAAATCAGAAGAAACTTGCCATGTTAAATGCGCAAAAGGCAGGACATGGAAAGTCAAAAGGTAAGTTCTGCAGAAGCCTCCCTCCCTCTAATGTGTTTCAGCATTGGAATTAAAATTGAGGAAGGCTCAAAGTTAGCACATGACCGACTCTGAATGAACGAGAGGAGTACTGATGAAACTCTAAATGATAGATCCAAAATAGCAGACAGTTTTATCATAACGAGCATTTGGTTTGAATGTACTAGTACTTCTGTTTTTTGCATATGAGTTTATAAAAGGTGTATTGAATTGGTAGCCAAGAGCTTTCAGACCTCCCTCTGCTGCCTACAACCCCTCTTGATCCCCCACTGAGGGGTGATGTGTTGGCCAGGTCAGCGTTCTGAATCTGAGGCAGGTCAGCCACTCTTGTATCTTTGGGGCATGTGAGGAGGAATCTCCAACCCCGACTATGTGTCCCTGCAGGCTACATTTCAGTTCAAGTAAGAAGGAAGATCTGAAAGTCCAGTACATCATGCAATGAGCTTAAGGAAAAAGAAGACAGAGTAGCTTGTTTACAGTTTTTATTCTCTACCCTTCAAGCACCTCAGAATGACCGGGCAGCTGTTTAAAAATACCAGAGGCCAGGTTACTCACACACACACACATCCCCACCTACACACACACACACCCACACACCCGGCTTCCAAAGTGCAGGCAGAGTTTCCTCAAGTAGGTAATATTAATATTCTAGCCCAACAGAAACATTGAACATCTTTATTCCAAAAATGTTATCTACAGTAATAAAAGAGAAAGATGCAAATTGACCCTCACTTCACAACAGCCACCAGCCAACCAGGAGTGGATATGCAAATTAACCCAACAAAGTAGTGGGTTAATTTGCATGCACAGGCACCAAGCAGGGGGGGTGGGGCGGCCATTGTGCATGTGCTGGCACCAAGCGGCCTGAGCCCCAGGGATGGGTTGTCCTCAGGACGCAGGCCACTCTGAGCCTGTAGGACTGCGCGTAGGGCCACTTGCAGGCCCTGAGTGGTCAGGGATGGGGTGAAAACAAGCAGCCAGGGGTGGGGTGGGAATGTCCGCCATAGCAAGTGAGCAGACAGCAGACTGCTGGGGACTGCTTGTCCCTCGCCATGGTGGTGAGAGACAAACAGTCCCCTGCAGCAAGTGGTCATGTCAGCGAGGGGCAAGCAGTCCCCCGCAGGGCCCCCACAGAGAGCAGACACCAGGGCCTGAAGTGGTGTCAAGCAGGCAGGTGTGCAGAGAGTAGAGAACCACAGAGAGGAGGCCTAAGGCATCAATAGGACATCCCCTGAGGGCTCCCATATTGGAGAGGGTATAGATGGGCTGAGGGACACCCCCACCATGATGAATTTCATGCACCGGGCCCCTAGTATTTTATAAACTACTTAATTCAGATGGACTCTAAGAGGGATTACCCTATGACATTTATCCTACTCAGTATTTTCCTAACTGAAAATGCAAAAAGAAGGATCATTTCAGTCTAGGACTGTGAGAAGCCATCAACTGCTGCACCAAGACGAATTCATTATCAAAATAACACTCAACATTTTCCTGCTCCCACCACTCAAATGCAGAATTTCCCTCCTATGTATAAACATGTTCAAGGCAGAAAATCTCATCGTATTCTTTTTTTACATCTTTAATATCAAGTGATGAATAAATATCAATTTATTAGAACTTATTCATTTCTGTATCTTCCAAGAGTCACTAGCTTAGCAGTGAGGTCCCTGAAAATGCAACTGATGGTCACCTGACAGGCACTTTTCATGCACTCCCTCACTTCATCCTCCCTGTCATCCTGGCAGATATGGAAAGAAAGCCTAAGGCAAGTCAGAGGCAGGGATGGGTTCTGAACTGAGGTCCTGGCTCCTTCCAAAACCCACGCTCTGCCCTCTTATCGTGCTGACTTTCACAGTTACAGTGTGGTCTTAATAGCTAATTTTAATACGCCTTTTTAATGACCTCTGCACAAATTTAAAATACCAACTTTAATAAAGCAGTTTTGATTAAACTGATGAGGTATCTGGATCACTATTCTAGGCACATTACTTACATTAACTGGTTTACTTCTCATACCCCAGTAGGCACTGGTATCCCTGCTTTAGATTTAGGGAACTGAGGCAACAGGAAAGTCAGCTGATTTCCCAAATATTATAGTTACAGCTCGTAAGTGATAGAGTAGGCGCTGGGCCGAGCAGTACGTTATTGCCTCTCATCCCAAGTAACAGTCTAGTTCTAATCTTGCCACTTACTGCTGTGTGACTGTAGCTTCACATAACCTCTCAGTCACATTCCTATAATGGTACCTTCCTGGGAGGATTTTTGTGAGAATTCAGTGAGATAAACTATGTCCCGTCTCCACACACAGCATGGGCTAAATGTGTTACGCTAGCTGTCAGATATACTTTCAGTGAATGTGAATTGAGAATCGGCTAAGAACTTCAAGTCTTGGCACTTGTTGTTGTTGTTGTTGTTGTTAATAAGTGACTCTCGTTCCATGTGTCATCCCCCTCCTCTCTCGCGTCAGGCTATAATGGATGCCCCGTGGCCCCCCCACACCAGAGCTTGCACCCCATGCACCAGCGCCACGTCACGGTGCCCACCAGCGTCCCGCAGCAGCAGGTGTTCGCCCTGGCAGAACCCAAGCGGAAGCCGTCGCTGTTCTGGCACACTTTCACCAAACTCACCCCTTTCAAGAAATGAGTGGGACCGCACCTTGGCTGGCCGTGGCCGTGCAGAGGACCGTTTTGTTGTTCTGTGCTCAGTCCAAGGACAGCCTGCTGGGCCCAGTGCTCTTCTTTGGGGCTGAATAAAGAAGAAAAGGACCTGGACTCGCCTTCCGTCTCAGAGACGCAGCTGCTGCGTGGAAGGGGGAGGTGAGGAAGCTCCCCGGACCCAAAGGCTTCTGTGACTTGTGCCGAGGTGGCCCGGACTGAGGAACTGGCGACATGCTCTGAAGTGAGTGCTGAGCAGTGACCCTGCCAGCCCCGCTGGTGACGAGTGCCCGTGCGGCAGCCCAGGTCCAGGTGCTGCCAGGAGGACAGGATGGGTGAGCGCTTTTGCATTCGGAGTTGAAGGGAATGGTCGTCCTGGTTGGGACTGGCCCGGTAATCCGTTCCTCTCTTCCCTAGTGTTAGGGGACTTAGAGCAGACGTGTCCCCTGGTGTCATCTGAGCCCACCCCGTTGTCACATGGTAATTAGCAGCTTCATCTTGTAGGCTCCTCCCACACAGGCTGGAGGGGAAAGCAGGATGGGCCTGCCTGGAAGCAGGGAGACCTCCAGTGCAGTAACTTCAGCCTCCTAGGGGGCGCTGCTTCCAGGGAGGGAGGAGGGAGGCGGGAAATCCTGTGGCAGGCTAGATGGCACTAGACAGATCCTTCTCTAGTCAGGCACTCTCCCGCCACCCTGGTAACGCCAGGAGCAGAGCCCGGTCTGCTGGTTCATAACCTAAAAACTATTCAAACACAGCCGTTTGCAATATAAAAACACATTCACTTCAGTTTCAGGATAAAGTGAATATGCAAATGCACTGATTGAAAGGCATTCTCATTCAATCAGTTGTTCCCGGCGCCTTCACCAATGAAGTTATAATGACATTGACATCCCCTGAGAAAGCTTGAGCTTCAAAGCAGCCCATCAGCTCCATGAGGAGCCACTTGGTTGCATTAATCCAAACAGCATGCCAACCATGCCGTTACTAGCATGTCAGCGGTTTCTGAAGGTTCCTCTTTATAAAAGAGGCCGGAACAGAGTATATCTAGACGCAGAGATAGCAGCTTCCTTTAAGGAGAGCCACATGGGCTGATACCTGTCAACAGTTTTCTCCTAGTCTTTGTTTATATTGTAAATTTTGATGAAAAAAGAACTTTAGAATGTGTCTGGAGAAGACAGGCTCCGCAATGCCATTGTAATTTACTTAGTGCACTGGATGGGCGGGAGGGTGGTGTGACTCAATTTGTGTTTTTCTATTTGAAAATCTCCATTTTGTATGCTACTCTTGGAACGTTTGTTTTTCTCCTAGGCCCATGCTTAAGAATAAACAAACCTGTACTGTCAATCACAGAGGCGTAGTCTGAGTCTCTGGGAGTGTGTGTCCCCCCCCCCCCCACACACACACACACACCCTGACAGCCAGAGCTCTTCCGGAAGGAGATGCTGACCTGCAACAAGAAGAGGCAGTCTGGGCCTCTCTGTGGGACTTGGAGCAGCATTATGTGATTGTCAGGAAATCTTACCGGGTTTTTTTTTTTAAATCTTTTATGAGCTGTTTTATTTATTTTATTTTTTTCATTTTTAAAAAAATCTTTATTGTTGAAAGTGTTACATATGTCCCCTTTTAGGCCTTACACCACCCTATAGTCTGTGCCCATGGGTTATGCATATCTGCACGCAAGGTCTTTGGTTGATCTCTTTCCACCCCCACACCCTCCCCCGCCTTCCCTCTGAGATTCCACTGTTGTTTCCGTGCTTCTCTGTCTGGATCTGTTTTGTTCATCAGTTTATTTGGTTCATTTTTCCACATAGGAGATCTTGCGATGCTTATCTTTCTCTGACTGGCTTATTTCACTTAGTATACATTTACACAATGGAATACTAGGCAGCTGTAAAAAAAAGTAAGAACTCTTACTATTTGCAACAGCATGGATGGGCCTGGAGAGCATTAGTATGCTAAGCAAACTCTGACCTGTTCTTGAGCCTGCTCTGCACCTCCGTGTGCTCAGTTCCAGGCAGTATTGCCGGAAGGTGGTGCTGCCCATGGGCTACTCCGTGGACCTTCATGGGGGGTGTCCCAGGATAGAGGCTGCGTTTGAGGAAGCTTCTCAGAAGGTGCTGTGACTGCGTGCATGAGCGTGTGCCTGCATGTGTGCTTCGTTTTTGAATACACATCTCAATTTTAGTTGTGTTTGTATAACTGACATTTTTATTAACAAAAATTATATATTTATAAACTATACTAAATATGCTTTTCTTTAGAATAACCATAGGGGATTCTGTGCTAAAAGAGTTGTTCATATACACAGCAATTTTAAATGGCTGGCTATGGTGTGTGTGTGTTTTATAATAGAGAATTACATTAAAGAAGCAAAGAGAATTATTTGCTTAGGTTATATTTTCAGTAAGGATTCAGCAAGTAAAGAACCACTCAGAAGGCTTCCATTTACTAATATTTATTAATGATCAATGAAGAAATGCTTTAAGTTCTGTGACGAGTCCTGGTTTGTTTCCCAGCTGAGTCCTAGCTCTGGTCCCACCTCCCACTTGGCCTCCTAACAGGAGCAGGAGGCATGGGCTCCAGGATGCGGCCCTCAGTCCTGTCAGCTTTGTACCCGTGAGAAGCCTCTGATCAATACCTGTTCTGGTAGATCCTGGTGATTTTGAAAACTGCTAAGGTAGATTTTAAATGTTAGAATTGAAGTTTGTATGTCCAATTTCAGTTGTTTTACCAAATGCCTGAGTTCTATAAAGAATAGGTGCCTCAAGTATTCTAATTTTGGTTTGCCAAACTTCCTTCTTGTTCTACTCAGAAAATAGAGAAAAAGCTAAGAGCCTTCTATAAAGAGTGTGTATGAATTTCTTTGGGAATTTCACTCTCTCTGTCTTTCTCTCTTTTTAACCCTACATTGCATAATATGGTGAAAACTCTTACCTCTCCTTCCCCCCAAAAAAAAGAAAAGATAATAAGAATTCTGATGAATTTTACTTATATTCTTACTCATATTTCAGAATTTGCCAATTCTGTTGAAAGATAGTTGGGTGAAGAGCAACCTTCTCGATGTTGATCATGCCTAAAACTAGGACAGCCCTGTGGTAGCTGTAAGGACTCGGAGTAGAATTTTTGTAGAGCCCTGGAGAAGCAGCATTCTTTGTCTTTGGCCAGCAAACTGGAGGAGGAGTGGCAGCAGCTGGCCAGCGGGTAGACAGGACCATCTGCACAGTTTGTTTTCGGGAGCTCTGATCTTTTCACCTGGTAGATCTGATTTTGTAGTTGGAGACATTTCACTTCCATCTCCCTGCTAGTTCTGAATATTGTTGTGTCTGCTAATCTAGAGGAAGATTAACGCCATGCCTGTCCTTTTGTAAAGTCTTTTGTAAAAGCCCTGTGACGCAGTATTTTACCAGTTGGAAATCTTTATGTGCCCAAATTGCTGATATTCCTCAATAAAAATCAACTTACTTAAAATCAGCTTGATTACCTGGGGCCCCTGGGGTGGGGGGGTGGGGGTGGCTATTGTTGAGGAGAGAAACAGATGTGTTCCTCCCAGGCCAGGGCCAGCAGCGTGAATAAATGTCCTTCCAAGGCTACAGGACACAAACCAAGGTCTGACGGCACAGAAACAGCTGTCCCTGTGGTAAGCGTTACCTACAGCTTGTTCTCCCGGTCAGACTCAGATTCCAAAGATTTTTGGGGAGTGGAGGGGCGGAAATAAGTAAAAACTATCTAATCTTGAAAAACCAAAAGGTTTAAATATTTGATGCAGACATACTGAGCTACAACACATGTAAGCTATATTGTCTTTAGTTATTCCATAGGTTCCAACATTTGTATTTAGAAAATACTTGAGTTGATTCTGTGGTTTCATAATTGGTCATTTTTCTAAGTGTCAGCATTGTTCATGTTTGACTTACCTACTTTGCAAAGCTTTGGGTAACCTTTTCATGTTAACTCATCAATGTCAAGATGACATTACCTGTATAAGTTGTGACGGCTTCCGAACTGATGACTTGGCTGTTGACAGCTGAAAGATGTACAGGTTGCTGTAACTTGATATGTATTTTTGTTGAATGAAGTTTTTGTAAGAAAAGAAAAAATTATTTACAATGTTATTTGAATGATTTCTTGTAAATGCTGTGAATCTATATTTGTTTTTTTTGTATCTGTATATTAAACTTAATTTGCCAAACTGGTTCTAGCAATGCATTTCCATGTTAGAACAGCATTTTTTTTTTTTTTTAATGGAGAGAGTGTGTCCATAGGGTCTATGGGATTCATAGCTCATTTCCTGCCTGGACATTGATAGACTTCTTTTCAGTAATAACTTGTCCACCAATGAGCTGGCTCAGACCATGGACAGCTATGAGAAAGAAGCTCTGAAGAGAAGCAAATAGGGGCCACTTGAGTGGAAACCGTCACTGAATGCTGGAATGGGATTGATAAAGCCAACACCCGAAATGAGAAGTCCTGTTTTGAAGTGGCAGCTTTTGCACAGACGGTGGAAAGTGGATGAACAGAATGTGTTCCCCTTTCATTTCCCTGCTGCTGGCCAAGGAATAGGCAGCCCCTTCCCCAGGAGATGTGCCTGTGCCCTGGGCCGGCCTGCCCTCTGGGGTGGGGTACATAATTTCCTCTAATTTACTGCTCAGAAGAGTAGTAAATAGCCCATTGTTTGCTGTGACTGTAATCAGAAAAGGATTCCTATAAAGGTTGCCAGGCAGCCAGTTCCCACTTTTTGTTTGTTTACTCTAATAACCGCCTACTTCCCAAACTGGTTTCCCTCCTGGAGCTGGGCAGAAGGGGGGTGGGGGGGTGGGGGGAGGCTGGGGCAGGGGAGAGTGAAAGCACCAGGAACCTAGTCTGCCTCTGAAGGTTGGCTCCCAGGGACTCAGCCTGTTACCATAGACAGGAGTGAAAATGGAGAGCTGTGGCCATTTCCTCTGAAGAGTCCGGGAGAGGTGGCCTGAGCCACCTGCCCTGTGCCCGGGAAAGACCACCAGAATGTGTGAACCCTCCAGAGGCGCTTATGGTCAAAGGAAAGGCAAACAAGGTACCATTACAACTGAGCGAGCTGTGCCGCAGCAGGAGTGTGTGCATGCTGTGAAAGGCCTTCAGGACGGGGTCCCTAACTCTGGCAGCGGTAGGAAGGCAGCTCACAGGAAGCCAGGGCCCGAGGAGCTCTGGAGAGTTAACTGGGCACCGCAGGGCGAGAGGTTTGCTGGCCAGTGTGATGCGAGTTGTGAGACCCCAGTGTTGGAAGCTGGGTTTTCACTCTGTAAACACAGGCTGTAGGGAAGGGATGTCATGGCAGATCTGCTGAGGAGCTCACTCCAGTGGCAGAGAAGGGTGGATTGGAAAGCGGACACAGGGAGGTGATTTAGGATGGCAGTCACCAACCTTTCAGACCTCTGGACCACCAGTGGTCTGAGGATTTAGGGAGACAGTGTCCAGTGAAGATGCTACAGGATAGGAAGGGCTGGGTGTGAAGGATGCTCAGTGGTAAGCACAGGTCTCAGTTGGCCTCCAGATGTTGGGAGAATGATAATAATTTCCAAGTTCTGCCGTGGGGTGACCAGTGGGTACTAGTGCCATAAACAGATACAGAAAATACAGCATGCAGGGGTGGGGCAGGACTTCCGTGTTTGAATTTGAGTCAGGTCTGTCCTGTGGGTAGTGAGATGAACAGAGGGAAACCCAGAGGGGAAGTCAGGGCTGGTGATGGACACTGGACTAGTCACCTCCAACCATGAGTTAAACTGTGGGAGTGGATCTGAGCCAGACAGCGGTCAGCAGGAAGAATGTACAGGCCTAGGAAGAGAAGGGGAAGAGGCCTGGTGTAGGTGTTTCTCTCTTCCCACATCCAGCACGGAAAAAAGCAGGTCTAGTTCCTGAGTAAGGAGCTGGGGATTGAGAAATAAAAGAAAGAGATAAGACATGAAGATAGAAGGAAAGAGCTAGGAGCCGGGTGGGACTACTGTCCTCTCTGATGGAGGGACGGGGACCCAGAGCCCATGCAGCATGTTTATTTATATTCCAAATACCAGGGGGTTTCACCGAAAACTTAGGATCAAAGGAGCTTGGATGGGCTCAGGTCCTATCCATTCTCTCATTCCCTGTGCTAGACTGGATTTACATATCAAAGCACACTATCTGACACCTGGGCTGAAATGAAGGCCAAGCTGTAACACTTCTGCCTTTTTGGCAAAGCTGTTCCCAGGGCGTGGTGACAATAATTTAAAGAACACCCCTGTGCCTTCCCAGGGGGCCCTCTACAGCCTGGCATGGAGAAGTGGGATGGGGGAGGGACAGTGAGAGCAGAGGGGGCAGGAATGGTCAGCAGGCCAAAGCTGCTATCGCTCCCACTGAGAAAGGACTACAGGTACCTGGGTGGATTCAGGGGTCAAGGGGGCAAGGCAACTCCTAGGTGGAGGAGAAGCCGGCTTCATTTACTGACCTAGTCAATGCCTGCCACTGCCCTGGCACTTTGGCATTGTTTTGCCTGCTGTACAGCCAAGGAAGCTGAGGCATGGTGAAAGTAGGGATGGTGTTGCTTCAGTTACTTACACCTGCATACCAGCGCCATCCTCAGCACCTCTGAGAAACAGTGTTGGATGTATTTGTCCCCTGGATGCCATTTTTAAGTCAGAGGTCAGTGTTAATATAATAGACTCTGATTGGGAAGAGGTAAGTCAGTATTACATGGCATTGAAAATTCCATCATACTTTTCTCAGGCAGGTGGTGTGTGTGAGAGAGTGGAGGTGGTGGTGGTGGTGGGGGGGGGGAGAAAGCAGTGGACATGGAGTCCTTATGTACACAAATGCCTAAAATTAAAGGATGTTCACAGAAAGATCTAGTGAAGTTACATCAGTCCTAATGGGCTGGAGTGCGAGTGAGTCCAGGCAGGGCTTTTCACTTTTGTCCTCTGGTTCCGGAGCTGCCCCCAGGCCAGCAGAGAGGCACCCCATCTCTTTAAGGAATACAAAGCCCTGGGGGCTTCCTCCAGACTCGCTGGCAGGTGACTCACTGTCTCATGTTTCCTTAAACGGGATGGACCGAGTGAGGAAGGCGGGGCGCTGGGAAAGGAGCCAAGTTTTCTAAACTCAGTGCAGCTGGTGGAGGATGCTACCTGACTCAAGTGTGGCTTCAGTTTTGACACTCTTCCAAGACGATTGTGCCTTTCTGTCCCGCCCCTTCCTGCTGTTTTGCAGATACATCCACCAGGGAATTGTGTGTCAGGAAGGTGTGATTTTATTTAGTTTGTCCTTGAGTCCTGGTTTGCGCAGCACCTGTGTGCAGCCCGCAGCCCACAGCCCTGGGGAGCAGGTAAGTGCATTAGGAAACAATTCTTTACATTCAATTTCAGCATCAGAGTCCTCTAACAGCCCATTTATTATTAGCGTGTGGCAACCCTGCTCAGTTATTTGCAAAGTAAAAAGGCAGATGTCTGCAGAGTTTTGGGTAGGAAAGGAGTGAGCCAGTTCCCAAATTCATTTATGAGGAAGAGGTGAAACAGGAGATGAAGGAAATTTTGACATTCTTCTGCCAGAACTCTGAATTGGCTGGGCGGAGGCCTGAAACCATGTAAAGCTATAGAATGAGCAGACTTTTCTAGAGCAGCTGGTCGATAATTTTGCACAAATTTTAATGTGTGCATTTATATTTATGGCTATCTTAATTTACACTGTAATATGTGTTTTTTTAAAGCCCCTCCACATATGTTAAAGAAGAAATACCTAAAGTGTATAGCATATAGAGCACAATGGAGAAAATGTATTCGGTGAAGGCAATTCGGAGACTTTTAGATTCTTAACTGCCAGCTCTAGGGCAGGGGGCTAGAGGGTGGGTGATATGGGGATTCCCTGCCCAAAGTAGCAGGGGCTCAACAGCTGGCTAGTGTGGTTCCGGTCAGCCTATGAAATCTTAGTATTGAAACCTTTAGCCTTGGCCATGAATTAGTCACCATGTCCTTGGGGATTGAATAACCTTTTATCAAGAAATTCAGGATTGAAAGAGAAATCTACGTCAAGCATAGAAGAAACAATCCAGAAATAAGAAGTTAACTGAGTAAGCACCCATTTTATTTGGGACTATAAAACAGTAACTGGAGAGTCATTTGCAGCCTGTGTCCTGTGCCCCAGCATGCCAGGCTGTTGGATGGCAGCAGCTTCCTGCGATCTCTGCATTCGTGTGGATTGTATTTATCTGCTCAAGGCAGTGAAGATTGACAGCTTCCAGCATGTCACCTGCAGGGCCGTGTGCTAGGGCTGTCAGGCTGCTGCCATGGAAGTCCACGCCGTCCTCACCCCCCATGAGTGTCCGCAGCTTCCACAGCAGAAACCTTGCATGCGCTCAGGCTTAGCTGTGTGTGAAGGGCCTACATAACGGTAGCTCAGTTAATAGCATATTTCTCTCTCATGTCAAAGATGGGCTAGCAGGACAGGTCTGTCTGTGGCGCCATTAGATATCAGGGTTTTTCTATCTCCTTTGAGGAGTTCAAGATGGTTCAGTGTCCCAGGCTCATGTCAGCCATGGGACAGGGGTAGGGACAAGGGAGAGTACGCCGTTCCATTTAAGGACCAAAAGTTGCACGCATTCTTTCTGCTCACTTCTTACTGGCCAAAATCTAGTTTCACGGTAATTTCCTCGCGGCAGTCCTCACCAGAAGCATTGACAAGGATTTGATTTCATAGCCAGTCACCTCAAGTGACCTACACACAGTTAGAACCAAGACAACCTTCTTTCCTCCCTCCGGCTCTCCCTCTCTCCCTCCCTCCCTCCCTCCCTCCCTCCCTCCCTCCCTCCCTTCCTTCCTTCCACTCATTCATTTAGTCCCTGTATCATTCAACAAATATTTGACTGCAATATACTGAAAAAAAAAAAAAAAAAAAAAAGAATGGGAAAGATGCACTCGCTATGTTCAAAAAGCTATAACCTTGTTTGGTGCTGGATGAGAACCCTGGTCTGGATGCCGTGTGAAGGCCACATGGACGGTGAAGATGGCAGTGACCCAGATGAGAGGGGGAAGGGGAGGGAGGGAAGCATGGGGGTTGGACGGTGGTCCTAGCTCTAATGCATTTTGGAGAGATAAACAGACAATAAAATTCAAGTATAAGAACTGGTTGAACTCATGAAACAGGATCCAAACCATGGCATTGTGAGAGCACAAATATAATTGTTTTATTTTTTACAAGTTACACATTAATACAAATTCTATCGCATGCCTTATGCAAATCCTTCTGTCCCTTTTATTAGAGACTTATTTCACTGCTCAGTTAGCAGCTAAGTATATTCAATTATTCAAAACCAATTGCTGAAGGTTGTCTACAGGGTAGGCATGAGGTAGAAGCAAGCTAGCTACATCCCTGCCTGTGAGAAGTCTGCCAAAACTAGTGAAAAAAATGGAGAAGAATAAATGTTTGCTTTATCTCAGCTCTTCTCTAGCTGAAAAACAAAGTGGAGTTTATCACAATTTGATGCCTTTACTATCTTGTAAGCTTTTAATTACTGGCACGATTGTAACACATTTTTAAAAAATTAAAAAGTAAAAAAATACCCTTTAATAGAGGTTGACCTGTGCGATTTAGATTTGAGTACTACCAGTCACTTCTTTTTTTTTTCTCAATATTTTTTATTTATTTTTGTACAGAGAGAAAGGGAGATAGAGAGTTAGAAACATCAATGAGAGAGCGTCATCGATCAGCTGCCTCTTGCACACCCCCTACTGGGGATATGCCCGCAACCAAGGTACATGCCCTTGACCAGAATCGAACCCTGGGCTCTTCAGTCCCCAAACCGACGTTCTATCCATTGAGCCAAACTGGTCCCGGCACTACCAGTCACTTCTGAGTTAAACAAAAGAGGCTGGTGGAGATTATTTATGGAATTGGGCTCCAAGAAAACAACTCAATTTCCTGAAAAGGCGTATGTCTGTAACTTCAAAGGGAAACATCTGTATTTCCTTTCCCCGAAATACTCCATTTGCCTCAAGTCCTGTGGCATTCAGAGACCTCTATAAGATGGTGATGTAATTTTTTTGCATGGCAGTCTGTCCGGTTTTAAAATATACATACCTAGAAATATGCTTATAGACACTGTAAAAACAGCATTTTTTCTAAAAGAAGAAAAAAGCATCCCACCATTCCAAAACCTCCATGTTCAATTGGGTCTGTTTGCTTCTAGCTTCTGTCAATATGCATGATCACAGGCGCATTCATAATGTGCATGGCATTTAGTCTACTTTTTAAAAACTTAACTCTACACAGCTGATGTCTTTTACATATTTCTACATGACATTCATAATCATTCCAGTGGTTACGTAATATTCTACTATCTAAACTACTTACTGTTTCACATTGTGTAGTAGCCACGTCTTCACTACTGCAGGTAACACTGGGGCTCATATCTATGGCACACACACTTTGGGAATTGAGAAGAATCTGGGGGATGAGATGACTGGGTCTTAAATATGATGTCCTTTCTCTTTAACTCTCTAAAGGCTGTGTAGATGTCCATTGCCTTCCGCAGAGGTTCTGGCTTCTAACCAGTTGCACTAGCCTTCTGTTATTATTTTTTATATCCAAAGTTATCTACTGTAACATGTTCATGCCACTCTATACATTCATCCTACTATTCCAGGCTTAACACTGAGCACTGGGACTACAAAAAAGAAGAAAAAACAGTCAGATGGGAGCAGGTTTTTCATTACACAATTACCTAAACACAGGTAGCCCTCTCCCCGGGTGCCATGAAAGAGAGCGGCTGGGCGCTATGTGCCCCTTCCAGGGGAGACTGACTGGTCGGGTGGGGCCTACGCGCCCCCAGTGTTCACAGCGCTGGGGACTTGCCGGTGTTGTTCTCTTTGTCTCGACCATGCCTTCAGATCTCAGCCTCTGCCTCACCAACCAGCATTGTCTTAGTTTCTGATAAGATTGGAAAGCAAATCAGCAGCGTGGAGGGGCGGTTTGAAAGTGCACTCCTCACACTGCATGCCCAGGTGTGTGTGCGCACGCGACCCTTCTCACAGCAGTTCTTGCAAAAACCAAGCCTGACTCAAAGGAGATATCTAATCGTAGTAGGACCACTTGGAAACACTGTAATACTTTTAAATTAAAATTTTATTGTGTAAAATACACACAAAGCCATTTAATCGCTCTAAGTGTGCAGTTCGGTGGCATTAGAGACCCTGGCATTGCTGTGCAGCAGCGTAATCGTCAGGGCCAGAGCTTCCTTCCTCTTTAGGGCTAAGCCACGTTCCACCGCATGCACAGACCGTATTTGCCATACGTTTGTTGGGTTGCTTCCACAGTTTGACTGCCATGAGTGACACCACTGTGAACATGGGGCAGAACCAGCTGCTGGGGACCCTGCTCTCAATGCTTTTGCATGTACACCCAGGGGGGTTGTACACCCAGGGGGTTGTACACCCGGGGGGTTGTACACCCAAGGGGGTTGTACACCCAGGGGTTGTACATCCAGGGGGGTTGCTGAGTCATATGCTAACTCTGGCGGCTGTGCTGTTTATAATGTGCTTTCATAGGGACCAAATTTGGTTTCTGCAGCAGCTCTCTGGCGAAAGGTGTTACCATCCTCTGTGGCTCTGAAAAGTGGTTTCCCAAAGTGGCACGTAAAGGGAAGTGCCCTGACTTGGAACCTGGCTTTCTCCTGGATCGCTCACCATTAAAAGTGGTGCCAATCACACGTGCCCCCTCCAAGGACGATGGCCTTCTGGTTGTAAGCAGCTTGATCTGCTACCAGCTTCTACCCTGACCCACCTTGACCGTCTGGGCAGACCTCACAGGGGTGAGGAGCAGAGGCTGTGTCACGGCCCCGGGACAAACGTTCCCCCTTTTGATCGGTGCTTCTCTCTTTCAGCTCAGCTCTGTCATCCGGACCATGAGGATCTGGTGGCTCCTGCTCGCCACTGGAGTCTGCATAGGGAGCACGAACTCACAGGACACCTGCCGGCAAGGCCACCCGGGTGTCCCGGGGAATCCCGGTCACAATGGCCTGCCTGGAAGAGACGGACGCGATGGAGGAAAGGGTGACAAAGGGGATGCAGGTACTACCACCTGGTGGCTGTTAGCTGCTGTTCCATTTGTCCCTTCATTGCTTTTCCCTCATTCATTCGTTCATCACCTGTGCAGTCATCACCTACTGCTCACTCACCGGTTGCTCAGCACACACTTCCTGAAAGCCACTCCACACCAGATTCTGGGCCAAATGCCTGGGTGTGTATAGCGCTGGACAAGAGCGACAGGAACTCTGTCCTCATGGACTTTCTTACCTAGTGGAGGAACGGGTTGTTAGCCATCATTTCTGCTGCCGCAGACCATTACCAGGAGAGCATGATGCCATAGATCTTCCTGCCCCAGAGGACAGGGCAGGTGTGATGCATCTTTGGCACATGGGGCTATAGAGAGACCAATTGCTACGTTTTTTTTTTTTCTTTATTGAGTAAGATATTACATATGTGCCTTTATCCCCCTGTTTCCCCTCCCCAACACCCCCTCTCCGCTCATGCTCTCACCCCCCAGGTGTCTGTGTCCATTGGTTATGCTTATATGCATGCATACAAGTCCTGTGATTGATCTCTCCCCTCACCCCCCTTCCTCCTCTGCCTTCCCTCTGAGGTTTGACAGTCTGATCGATGTTTCTCTGCCTCTGGATCTGTTTTTGTTCAACAGTTTATGTTGATCATTATATCCCACATATGAGTGAGGTCATGAGATATTTATCTTTCTCTGACTGACTTATTTTGCTTAACATAATGCTCTTCAGGTCCATCATTCATCAGCTGCCTCCGGCATGCCCCACACTGGGGATAGAGCCTGCAACCCAAGCATGTGCCCTGACTGGGAATCAAACCATGACCTCCTGGTTCATAGGTCAATGCTCAACCACTAAGCCATGTCGGCAGGGTGTCTCCTCACAATTTAAAAGGCAGAGCCTGGGTTTCCATAGCAACCAGGCAGCATATCTCTGTCATCCTTTGGCAGGCCCAGTTTATCTTTTATGAGGTCCCAGTGGTCACAAAGGGAGCAGGAACTGGAGGGGAGGACACATAAATGTGAAGGTGGGAAATCAGACTTCCAGAAACAGAGTCTCATTAAGGCTTTAAGAACAGATAAATTAATTCAGGAAGACCCACCTTCACAGGCTGCGGTAACCAGACACACACACTGCAGGAGGGTAAAACCCCAAAACGGGAGGAAAGGAAGCCATAGTCGCTGCTTAAAGCCACCACCAAAACACACAGAGCTGCATCCAGGGATCCAGCCCACTGAGGCGGAGATGTGGAGGGAGCACCTGGCCCCCATCAAAGTTTTAGGATCCCAGATGATTTCCATGATGGTGATCTAGTTCATTCTACTCCCAGGATCTGGGGCACAAAAGAGGCTGTGAGGAGGCTCTGGTGGGGCCGGTTCAGGCTCCTTCTCCACTTTGGATGTGTCAACATCTAGAAAAGAGTCATGCAGACCAGAATCCATCAACTACCAGAGCTCAGAGCTTCTAGAAGCCTGGATCGGCCTGGGGCAGCACTTTGTTCTGGGAGCCTGGGAGAGCCCCAGATTCAGAGGATCTCAGCCTCGTTGATGGCAGTGTCCCAGCTCCCTGAGATAGAGCCGGTGGACAGGAGAAGTTGCCTTGCCCAGGATGAGGGACTCAGGGGAGCGGACAGGGTGCCTGAGCCAGGTGAGGAGCTGCCTGGAGCTGCTGGAGAGGTTGTGGCTGAGGGAAGGCTTGCAGAGGCTGGTGCTCAAGGTGGGCTTTTCTAGGGCAGAGATTTTCAACCTTTTTCATCTCATGGACCACATATAATAATTACTAAAGTTCTGCAGCGCACACACACACACACACACACACACACACACACACACACTACTGATCTAATAAGAAATAGGTATAATTTTGATTGATTTGCAAAAAAATAATAATAGTAATTCCATATCCTTTTAAAAAATGTTTTTAATGCTTTTACGGGTATGTACCTTGACCCGTAATCAAACCAGTGATCTCTTGGTGCATGAGTCAAAATTGAACCACTGAGCAACACCAGCTGGGCTGACCTACCGTTTTTGCCTCAAAGTGGCTTTTTAAAAAATCTGGTCCCCAGACTTTTATATAAGGATTTCTGGTACCAGAATTAACCAGTCGGATGCAACCATATGTAACATGACCAATGAGTTGCAACTCTATTATATGACCTATGTATTTATGGTTCAAGACAGGGCATTCAAATCGGACAGCTATTGTTGTGTTGACTGTTGTCTTTTTCAAATGCACTTAACAATCAAAGGGAAAAGAGCTCAGCGCCCCTGACTAATAGTTGCAAGTTTTAAAAGTTCTTCAGCACATCAGCTGAAAATAGCTGGTTTAGGGAGGTGTGGAGCAGGGCTTGCTGGTAGCTTTTCAGGCCTGCTGGACCCCAGTCCCACTTCTCATCCTCCGCTTCCTCCTCCAAGTCCAAGTGTTACCTCTTCAAGCCTCCTACCATGATGCCCTCAGCTGCCAGGTTCACAACAAAACCTCTTGGAACGTCTGCAGCTTCGCGACTCTTTAGTGCCAGATAGAGACCTTGCTCTAGTTGCCTTGCTCTTTAGACTCTTCCAGTTGAAAGTTGGGCATCAGTCATGACCTCCAACTCCAGGGTTACATCAGCTTTCTCTAAAATCCGAGTATCCTTTGTTCCAGTCTCAAGGCAACATTTTTGCAGCTCAGCACTTGTGGTGGGGTGAGGTGAGAGTCTCACCTTTGGGTACTCATCCCCTCTCTGATTCAAGAGTGGGCGTGTGTGTTTTATTTATAAATATATGAAATTTTAATTTTTAATTTTAAAATATTTTATATACAGAGGAGATAGATAATAAGTAGACAAAGACAAATGCTTATATATCCAGCACCAAATTTGTCTTTCTCCCTTATTGAATCTCTCTCCTTATTCTTCAATGTTATCCATTCTTTTGAGTTTTTCATAATTCTTCAAAGCATATATACACATATGTTTTGTTCAGAGTTCATACATGTAATATATACATATGTTTCTCAGAAGTTTATTTAATCATACTTTTCACACTAATAATTTCATTTTTTCTTACTCTCTTCAAATGTATTTTATGTTTTAATAATGAATACTTTTAAGAACATTATCTGCATGTAATTTATGAACACACAAGTGCATATTAGAGTACATGTCCATTCTTTGTGACTTGGAAGTGTACATCATGAAAGCTTTGAGCCACTGTTCTAGACAATGGAAGAATTGAGACTTAGAGAAACAAAAAAAAAAAAAAGAAGTAAGAATAAGAAGACTTATACTTCAGGAATAGGGACTTGAGAGGGAAAGGAATTAAGAAGAAAGGAAAAGGAAGTAAATGTAGTGGTGACTGCTGCTCAGAGACTCCCCAGTATCCAGGGTCTGCCTGAAGTCCCAGCAGACCAGACATCACTGATATAAATATGCCCATGTTAGGACCAGGAAACTGGCCTTCCCTGTCCCTGTCACCTTACAGCTGGGTCCATGGACCTGAAGTCTGGGTGTCTGTTGCTATGAGGGAAGCCATCTGGAGTGAACCACATCCCAATAAGTTCTTCTATGCCATTCCTAAACTTACAACATGGAGGGTGGAGCTCATGGAAACCTGTTTCCAGAATAAGATCTTGTGTATGTTCAGCAAAACCTCACTCACTCGATGTTCCTAATGGGGTCTGCCATGCCAATTGATCAGTGACATTTTCCATTACTTTAAAGCACTAGAGAGATCCTTTCTATCCCAAATCATGTGTATAGCCATAGTCATCTGTGTTTTTGTAGTAGGCTAGTAAACCTTCCACTCCACTCTCCACAAGAGTGCTAGAAAAGGAGGAATGAGACCCAAAAGGGTAGCAGAATAGGTAGAAGTTATATTTACCTCCTCCCAGGTCCAAACTGGAATTACAACTAAATTATAGAACGATCATCCTGAAAAACCAGTGAAGACAAGCTAAACATCAATGGATATATTTTCCAGGCAGAAAATTAACAAGGACACTGAGGCCTTAGATGACATACTAGACCAGATGGATTTAATTGACATTTTTAGAGCATTTCATCCCAAAGCAGTATAATATACATTATTTTCAAGTGCACATGGAACATTTTCTAGTAAAGACCACATTTAGGACACAAAACAAGTCTCAATAAATTTAAGAAGATTGAAATTATATCAAGCATCTTCTCTGTCCACAATTATAAGGAAAAAACACATACCTGAATAATTCACAAACACATGAGGCTAAATAACATGTTGCTAAGCAATTAAATGGCTCAACAATGAGATCAAGGAAGAAATAAAAAGATTTTTTGAGATAAATGATAATGAAAACACATAATCTATAGCAAAAGCAGTCCTAAGAGAGAAATTCATAGCATTACAGACCTACTTCAAGAAACAAGAATATCTCAAATAAACAAGCTATACACCTAAGTGAACTAGGTATAGAATTAGAAAAATCACCCAAACCAAGCCCAGAGTGAATAGACAAAAGGAAATAATAAAGATCAGAGCAGAAATAGAGTCTAAAAAAATACAATATAAAAGATCAATGAAACAAAGAGCTGGTTTATTGGTAATATAAACAAGATGAATAAAACTGTAACAAGACTATTCAAGAAAGAAAGAGGACTGAAATAAATAAAATCCTATATAATAAAAGCCTAATATGCTAAGTGTCCAGTCACCTGTTTAACCAATCAAAGTGTAATATGCGCCAAAACCGGTTTGGCTCAGTGGATAGAGCGTCAGCCTGGCCTGTGGACTGAAAGGTCCCGGGTTTGATTCTGGTCAAGGGCATGTACCTTGGTTGCGGGCACATCCCCAGTAGGGGGTGTGCAAGAGGCCACTGAAGAATGATTCTCTCCCATCGATGTTTATTTAAAAAATTTTAAAATATATTTTATTGATTTTTACAGAGAGGAAGAGAGAGAGATAAGAGTTAGAAACATCGATGAGAGAGAGACATCAATCAGCTGCCTCTTGCACACCCCCTACTGGGGATGTGCCCGCAACCAAGGTACATGCCCTCGACCGGAATCGAACCCAGGACCTTTCAGTCCGCAGGCCGACGCTCTATCCACTGAGCTAAACCAGTTTCGGCTCCCATCGATGTTTTTAATTCTCTATCCCTCTCTCTTCCTCTCTGTAAAAAATCAATAAAGTATATATTTTTAAAAAAGTGTAATATGCTAATGATATGCTAAGGCAACTCAATCGCTTGCTATGACGTGCACTGACCACCAGGGGGCAGACACTCTGACTAGTAGGTTAACTTGCTGCTGGGATTCGGAGGATTGGCACTGAGTGGGATGGGCCAGACATGACCTAGAGCCCTCCCATGGTTCCTCCCTGAGTGGCCAACCTCCGGAATCCCTCCCTGGCCATGATTGTGCACTGGTGGAGTCCCTGAGCCTGGCCTGTGGCCTCTCGCACTCTGGGAACCCTCAGAGGATGTCAGAGAGTTGGTTTTGGCCCGATCCCACAGGTCAGCATTATCCTAATTCCAAAACCAGGTTAAAGACAATACAAAGGAAGAAAGTTGTAGTTCAATATCCCTGATGAAAATAGATGCTAAAATCTTCCACAAAATATTAGCAAACTGGATCCAGCAATACATTAAAAAGATCATATACCATGATCAAATGGGATTTATTCCTGGAATGTAAATTGGGTACATCATCTGCAAATCAATTAATATGTTATATCACATAAATAAAAATAATGAAAAAATTTATATGGAATCACAAAAGACCCTGAATAGCCATAGTAATCTTGAAACAGAACAAAGTGAAAGTGTCATGCTACCTGATATCAAACAATACTGTAAGGTCATACAATCTGGAAACATACAATCTTCCAAAATTCAATCAGAAGAACTAGAAAACCTGAATAGAAATGGAAAAACCAGAAAATCTAATGAAATTGAAGTAATAATAAAAGAAACTTCCAGCAAATTAAAGTCTTGGAACAGCATAATATGGCATAAATACAATAGTTCAATGGAATAGAATAAAGAGTCCAGATATAAACCCACACCATATGGTCAATTAATATCTGACAAAGTAGGCAAGAACATATAATGGGAACATATAACATTTATTCAGTAAATGGTGTTGGGAAAATTGGACAGATATATGCAAAAAATGGTGTTGGGAAAAATTGGACAGATATATGCAAAATTGGACAGATATATGAAGGGTCCTCAAAAATTAAAAATGAAGCTGCCTGTGACCCAGTGATTCCATTTCTATATAATGAAGAAATCCACAACCTTAATTTGAAAGAATACTAGTATATGCACCTCTATGTTTATTGCAGCATTGTCTACAATAGCTAAGTTATGAAAGTAACCCAAGTGTCAATCAATAGACTGGTGGGTAAAAAAAGTTGTGGTACATATATAAAATGGAATATTACTGGGTCATGCAAAAGAATAAAATCTTACCATTTGGGACAGATGAACCTAGAGGGCATTAAACTAAGTAAAATAAGTCAGTCAGAGAAGGACAAATACCATATGATTTCACTTATATGTGGAATCTAAAGAACAAAAATAAATAAGCAAACAAAATTGAAACAGACTCATTGATGCAGAACAGACTAACAGTTGCCAGAGGAGGATGGGTTTGAGGACTGGGTAAAAAAATGTGGAGGAATTAAGAAGTACAAATGTGTCCATGGCTGGATACCTCAATGGTTAGAGCAGTGGCCTCTGCACCCGAGTCTCCAGTTCAATTCCTGGCCAAAGGCACGTATCAGGGTTTCAGGTGCATCCTTGGTCCCGGTGAGGACACGTGTGGGAGACCAACCTGTTAATGTCTTTCTCATATCGATCTTTCTCTTTCTCTCCCACTTTTCTTTCTCATCCCTCCTCTCCCTTCCACTCGCTTTAAAAAGTAATGGGAAGCCAAAACCAGTTTGGCTCAGGGATAGAGCGTCAGCCTGTGGACTGAAAGTTCCCAGGTTTGATTCCAGTCAAGGACATTGTATCTTGGCTGTTGGCACATTCCCAATAGGGGGTGTGCAAGAGGCAGCTAATCAATATTTCTCTCTCATCAGTGTTTCTAACTCTCTATCCCTCTCCCTTCCTCTCTGTGAAAAATCAATAAAATATATATATATTTTTAAAAAGTAATGGGAAAAATATCCTCTGGTGAGGATTAACCACAAAAATCAAAGAAGAAAGTAGAGCATAGGGGATATAATCAATAATATTGTAATACCCATGTACGGTGCCCAGTGGGTACTGGAAATATTGGAAGAACGCTTTGAAAAGTATATGATTAACCACCATGCTATACACCTAAAACTAATACAAAATAATTTTAAATGTAAACTGTAAGTGAAAAAATAAAATGTTCAATTCAAAACATAAAAGGAAATACAGGAAAAGAGAAGTGAGAAAGTCATCCAATGCCTCTGACATTTTTAAAATTAATTTTTAGAGAAAGGAAGGGAGAGAGAATGAGTAATATTAATGTGAGAGGGAAATAGCTATTGATTGCCTCATGACTGGGAATCAAACCTGCCTTGTTTGATGTATGGGACAAAGCTCCAACCAACCAAGCCACACCAGCAAGTGTGCCTCAGATATTTTCTCACGTCATGAGTGCTCCTCACATGAAAAAACACGATTGTGATTATCTGTGCACATGCTCCCTTCTTGTCCTGCGTTTGGAGCTGAGTGCTTGAGAAGTCCAAGTCATTTTATAATAATTCACTTCTTTTCCACAACTCAGCACCCTTACTGCTCCCTCACATCTACCTCTCTCCAGTCTACATCACTGATTGAGACCGATATCTAGGAAAATTGGAAATTCAACTCTTGTCTTTTTTTTTTTTTTTTTTCTCTTTCCCACTTAGGAGAACCAGGACATCCTGGCAGTTCAGGGAAGGATGGAATGCGCGGACAGAAAGGAGAACAAGGTCAGAAATCGTGTTCCATTTGACCATGCTCTAATTCTGAACCATTAATGACTTAGCAGTAAATATTAAGTTCTTTCCAAGGACAAGCACTTTACTAGGCTGTGAGAATGACCCAACAATAAAGGTAACAGTTCTTGCTCTCCGGAAGTTCATAATTCAGTGCAGAGATCAGAGATCAGCAAACTTTTTCTGCAAAGGCCAGATAGTATTTTCAGCTTTGCTGGCCATATGGTTTCTGCCACTGCCACTTAACTCTGCCATCATAATGAAAAGCAGCTGTAGTCTCTATTTATATAAGTGAGGAAGTGCTTCTGGGAAAAGCTGTTTATGAAAAATGAAATCTGAATTTTATATAATTTCCATGTATTATGGAACGTTATTTGTGATTACTTAAAAATGTAAATTATTCTTAGTTGTGGGCCATTTAAAATCAGACAGGCTCTACCTGGTTGGCTCAGAGGATAGAGCATTGGCCTATAGACAAGGGTCCCAGGTTTGATTCTGGTCAAGGGCACATGCCTGGCTTGCGGACTCGATTCCCAGTAAGAGACATGCAGGAGGTAGCTGATCAATGATTCTCTCTCATCATTGATGTTTCTATCTCTCTCTCCCTCTTCCTTCTTCTCTGAAATCAATAAAAATATTAAATAGATAGATAAATAGATAGATAGAATCAGATAAGGCACTGGATTTGGCCTTTGATGATAGCTTGCTGCAGCCTCAGTTAGAGCATGAGCACTGAGGAATGACACTGCATTTTGACTCAGTGCCTCTTCATGGAGAAGCTGGCATTGAATTGGGCCTGGAAAGGAAGGGAGGAACCTTGGCAATTGTGACTGATGGGGATGGAGAATAGTCGTATAATGGTCACTTTGTAAGAGGTTGTTCTAAGTGCTTCTTATGTATTGACTCAATACAACAGCCTGTAAGGGAAGTAATATTATTAGCCCAATAGTACAGAGGAGGAAACAGAGATGGCTAATCAGCTTGGCTAACATCCCCCCAAGTATAAGTGGTAGAGCGAGGATTGAATTCTGGCTTTAACTTCAGAGTTCATGCTCACAACCATTGCTCTCCAGGCAAGGCGAAGGAACCTGGAAGCACGGAGCTACTATGCACATTGTCAAGTAGCGCAATAGTTGGCACAATGGACAGGCTGGGCTGGGCAGCAGAGAGCAGTGAATGCTCACTCCCATGAGGAGCTTTTCAGGTTACTTTCCTGAAAGTAACCTGAGCTAATTCCAAAGATGTCCTCAAGGATCGGTATTGTTTAGCAGTCAAATAGATGGTAAAGAGTTGGACCTTGTTATGAGAGTCCTGACACTAGTTCAGTAGTGTTTTATGTGGGGAGTACACTGTTTTATCACACATGTATACTCAATAGTAGAAAAACCAGTTGATTTCACAGGTGATGTTCCACAAATCACTTTTTTCTTGTTTCTCTCTCTCTCTACCTAGGAGCAGATGGAAGAGTTGAAGCAAAAGGCATCAAAGGAGATCCAGGCTCCAGAGGGCCCCCAGGGAAACATGGGCCAAAGGGATTTGTTGGCTCCATGGGGGAGCGAGGCCTCAGAGGAGAGACTGGTCCTCAAGGGCAAAAAGGGGAGAAAGGTGATGTGGGTCCCATTGGCCCAGCGGGGCTAAAGGGCAGCAGTGGGCCTGTGGGCCCAACTGGTGTGCAGGGACCCATGGGCCCCCTGGGGAAGCCTGGTCCCAAGGGCGATGCTGGGCCCTTGGGACCTCAAGGGGAGCCAGGAGCCCGAGGAATGAGAGGCTGGAAAGGGGATCGAGGAGAAAAAGGAAAAATTGGCGAGACTCCAGTCTTGCCAAAAAGTGCTTTCACCGTGGGGCTCACGGTGCTGAGCAAGTTTCCTTCCTCAGACGTACCCATTAAATTCGACAAGATCTTGTATAATGAATTCAACCATTATGACATAGCTACGGGAAAATTTACTTGCCACATTGCAGGGGTCTATTACTTCACCTACCACATCACTGTCTTCTCCAGGAATGTGCAGGTGTCTTTGGTCAAAAATGGGGTAAAAATACTGCACACAAAGGACGGTTACATGAGCTCCGAGGACCAGGCCTCCGGTGGCTTGGTGCTGCCACTGAAGCTGGGGGACGAGGTGTGGCTGCAGGTGGCCGGAGGGGAGAGGTTTAACGGCCTGTTTGCGGATGAGGATGATGACACAACTTTCACGGGCTTCCTTTTGTTCAGCAGCCAGTGATGGGGAGTGCTTATAAATCTGCCTTGCCATCCATCAGATTGACTAGTAGCTCTGTGAACATACAGTAGGTGATTTTTCTATATTAATTACTCTCCGTATTGTAATTATCATAGAAAGGTAAAAATAGAAATGTTATTCTTGTTTTTTTTTAAATAAATCTTTATTGTTCATATTATTACAAATGTTCCTCATATTTTTCCCCCCTCCGTTGCTCCCCTCCACCAGGTTCCCACCCCACCCTCTGCCCTTTCCCCACCCCCCATTGTCCTCATCCATAGGTGCACAGTTTATGTTCAGACTCTTCCCACAGCCTCACTCCCTTTTTCCCTGAGAATCATCAGTTCACTCCCCTTCCATACCTCTGATTCTATTATATTCACCAGTTAATATTGTTCATCAGATTTTTTTTTTAAATTCCCTTGGTTTTTAGATTCACTTGTTGATAGTTACATATTTGTTGTTCATAATTTTCTTTCTCTTCTGAAAGAACCCCCTTCAGCAATTCATATAATTCTGGTTTGGTGGTGATGAACTCCTTTAGCTTTTTTTTTTTTTTTTTTTTTTTTTTTTTAATTCGTGAAGCTCTTTATCTGGCCATTGATTCTGAGTGATAGTTTTGCTGGGTAGATTATTTTTGGCTGTAGGTTCTTGCTATTCATCACCTTGAATATTTCTTGCCATTCCCGTCTGGCTTGCATGGTTTCTGTTGAGAAATCAGCTGACAATCGTATGGGTGCTCCTTTATAGGTAACTACCTTCTTTGCTCTTGCTGCTTTTAATATTTCCTTTTTGTCTTTTGCTCTTGGGATTTTAATTATGATTTGTCTTGGTGTAGTCCTCTTTGAGTTCCTTTTGTTTGGAGTTCTGTGTGCTTCCCGGACTTGTAAGTTTAATTCTTTCACCAGGTGGGGGAAGTTTTCTGTCACTATTTCTTTCAGTATGTTTTCAGTATCTTGCTCTCTCTCATCTTCTGGGGCCCCCATAATTCTGATGTGGGTTCGCTTGAAGTTGTCCCAGAAGTTTCTTACATTATCTTCAACTTTCTGGATTCTCTTGTCTTCTTGTTTCTGCGGAGGAGTGTCTTCTGGCTCTTTATGTTCCAAATCTTTGACTTGATTCTTGTGATCTTCCATTTTGTTTTTAGGACTCTGTATAATATTTTTTATTTCAGACAATGTATTCTTTATTTCTTGTTGATCCCTTATTATTTCTAGTTGATCCCTTTTCATATCCCCATAGGTCTTATTGGCCTTTTCTAGGAAATTCTTGAAAAACCTTATAAGCATGGTTTTGAACTTTCTATCCAGTTGCTTTTTGTCCTTTATTTCTTTTGTTTGTGATCTGTTTCCTTGTCTCGGCATTTTCGCAGCTTCCCTGAGTTGGTAGCCTTAAAAGTCTCTGTGTTCAGCTTGGATGGGGCGGAGTTTCAGGGTGGAGCCTACAGCCTTGGCTTCCGTCAGCCCCTCCCTATGAGGCTTCTGAGTCTCAATGTTCCTCAGTGTCCTTTGGTACTCGCCACAAGCACCTCTGAGAGAAAGGCAGCCTTGAGTTTCGCCCTCCACCAAACAGTCTAGGCTCTCCCCCAATAAGCCCGGAACTGGGGTTCAGTTCAGTTGGAAGTGGGGTTGGAAGTGGGGTTCAGAGCAGTCTGGAGCTTTTGTCTCCCTCCCACTAGGGCAATCCAGCGACACAGCCAACCGTCCGTTCTCTGTGTGCAATGTGTGCACCTCTGGGACCTCCTTTCATGGCTCCCTCGGGTTTCCGCCTTTCAGCCCAGGCTCCCTCTATATGAGCCTGGATCCCGGGGTCTGGCTCAGAACTGGGGCTCAGTGCAGTCAGAACTGGGGCCCAGCACAGTCTGGAGCTTTTGTCTCCTTCCCACTAGGGCAGTCTAGCAGCAGAGTCAACAGTCAGTCCTCTCCATGTAATGTGCACACCTCTGGGGGCTCTGCTTTTCACTGTTCCTCCGAGATTCCGCCTCACAGCCCAGGCTCCCTCTGTATGATCCTGGGTCCCCAGAGTCTGGCCTAGAACTGGGGTTCAGTGCTGTTGGATCTGGGGTTCAGCACAGTCTGGAGGTTTTATCTCCTTCCTGCTAGGGAAGGCCAGCCAGGCACTAAGCCTCCCCCTCCTCTCCGACTCCGTCCTCTCCATGCACCCAAAGTGTCTCCGTATCTTAGGCTTTTACAGCTCCTCTGCTTTTCCTTCTGGTTTTCTCTTTCCTTCTTGTAGAATTTCCAGTCAGTCGACTTTCCTGGGTAATGTCCATTTTGTATTTTAGTTGTATTTTATTGAAATTGTATGCGGCTGCGGTTAGGTGTTTACCTGTGCAGCCATCTTGGATCCTCCCTTCTGTATCAGAAATGTTATTCTTAAAACCAATTCTATGTAATTTACTATCTTTCTTAAGGTAAAATTTTAAATACCTGTATTTTTTATTGTAATTTTGATATTTTTCATTATTAGCCCTGTGGTTGGTTACAAGAAATAAAAGATTATAATAGGATTTCCACAGAAGCTCTCTGATTCTCAGACTATAATCTTGAGCTTGCCTTTCTTTCTGGTATTGTTTGCAATGTACTCAGGAAAGTCAATGACAACCATGTATAGCAGCCACTTGGGCTCCCAAGGCATTGTTTTAATTAGCACTTCATCACAACCAACCACAGTTAATACTTTAATTAATTAGCACTTCACTGTATATCAGGAATAGCTGGCATTAAATTTCCTTTTGGCCAGGAGCTCTGCTCTGCACTCAGGCCCAGACAGGAGATCAAATCCACTCTCAAATACCAACTCTGAGTGTCTGTCTCTTCAGACTACTCCCAGCACCAGTTCTCTGTCAGGGTCCAATCAGGAGACAGACACCACACCAGTTATTTGAACAGAAAACAATCTAAAGAGTTGTAACTTATAAACGGTAACTAGCAAACTAGAAGCAATAAGTAAAAAAACAGTTACTGCTTCTAGGGCCCAGGAAGAGGAAATTACGATCTAAGAACTTAGAAAAGCTCTCCCCACCATTCACTTCAAGGCTGACTCAGACCTCCTTGGAGAGGCCTGGCTGCCACAGGGGCACACATTGCCGAATGCCTGCCGCTGCTAAGGGCGTGGGCCAGGCTGGTCCAAAACATGGCCTGCGGGGCAGTGGAGAACTCACTGGAGGGCATCAGCAGCTGGAGTTGGTCTGCAAGGGCTACTGAGATGAGCACCATCCAGCCAGTGGAGCTGTATGTGAGAGGCCTCATTGAGCACCTGGGCTAGATGGCCAACCTATTTGATGGGGTAACATGGGATTTGGATGTTACTTAAGCTATTCAAGAGTGCAGGTCCTGCTTTGCCTCTCTTCCCTGTAGGATTCCCTGGGAAATCGTATAAATGCAATTGTAGCCAATTACAAACACCAGTGCTATTTTATTGTTAGCTGGAATAATGTCTAACAATGTACAGCGTGGGGTCTGTGAAGGCTGGTGTGGACCCCATCATTTTGGCTCATATCGTCAGTTTAGGGTCTTTTACTCCCCCACTTCCCACAGCCAAAATTCTGGGGCTGATGTCTCTAAATGTGTTTGTAAAGAGCAAGAGATTGAGCAACTTCTGAGCCCAGGTGGCTGGCAAGCCATATGGAATCAGGGAGAGAGAAAGAAAGAGACAGAGATATAGAGAAAGAATCCTCTGTTCTGCTTACTATAAAGAAGCAGGAAAAATAAAGTACAAGAGAGTGTCATGTATGTATATTGACTTTTTGTTGTTGTTAATCCTCACCAGAGGATATTTTTTCCCCCATTGATTGGAGAGAGTAGAAGGGAGGAGAGAGACACAGAGAGAAACATAGATGTGAGAATGACACATAGATTGTTTGCCTCCTGCATGCTCCCTGATGGGGCTGAGGATTGAGCCTGCAACCAAATACCTATGTATCTTTCAGTCCTTGGGCCAACATTAATCACTGAGCAGACCAGCTAGCACTATATATGGACTTTTTACCATGCAGTAATCAGCCTATTAGTAACTGTGGCCCAATTAATATCTAACCAAGTTGTCGGCAAACTGCGGCTCTCGAGCCACATGTGGCTCTTTGACCCCTTGAGTGTGGCTCTTCCACAAAATACCACGTGCAGGCGCGTGATTGAAACTTCGTGGCCCATGCGCAGAAGTCTGTTTTTGACTCTCAAAAGAAATTTCTATTGTTATACTGTTGATATTTGGCTCTGTTGATTAATGAGTTTGCTGACCACTGCTCTAACCAACCAGATCAATTACCATGTTCCCTTGAGGGGAGAAAGGAAGAGATGGGCAGAAGCAGATATAATGTTAGGAGAGAGGTTGAAGGTCAGGCCAGACCTAATAGTTGACACCAAATTAGAAAGCAAAAGTGAGCTCCTCCTCCCTCCGCCACACACACACACACACACACACACACACACACACACTCACACACACACACACACACACACACACTCACACACACACACACACACACTCACACACACACACAAGGGATGACTTCCTTGGTGATATGCGCCTTGGTTTTGTTTAATTCTGCCCCCAGCTGTACCTCCTCTTCTTTTACTGCCATTCAAGAAGGCATAGTCACATCCAAGACAGAGTAACTTCATCCTAGGGTAGGTCTTAAATATGTTCCCTTCCTCCTTGTCTTCCTCCCTCTCCCCTCCCTCCCTCCCTCCCTCCCTCCCTCCCTCCCTCCCTCCCTCCCTCCCTCCCTCCCTCCCTCCCTCCCTCCCTCCTTTCCTTCCTCTTTCCTTTCTCTCTTCTTCCTTTCATTTATTCAAAAACCAATTTTGTGCCTTTCCAAATATTTGGGGGACACCTCTTCTATTTTGTGGATTATCCATTTAATCCTTCCGTTTCTGTCTTGTCAACTTTTGAACATTTTCCTGTTAACCTTTTCATTGGGAGGAAGAGATCCACCCAGAAATAAGGTTAGAGATTTCCATCATATTCCGGCTTCCCATGTTCTCCACAACCCTCTCTTCTTTGGAGAATAAGATGGTAATTTGAGAGGTAAGTATATTTCATGACCTCTAGGAAACAGGAGAAGAGAAGGAATATAGAAGAGGGAAGATGCAACACACCAGTATAGACGTTGTTAAGAAATTTATTTGCAATTCTTATTTTTTTGTTTTTGTTTTTGCTTTTTTAAATAACATTATTCCTCAGATAAAAATGCAATCTTACAGGAATATACATAGCGTCTCACACAGAGATCATCACCCTGAAGCTCTTCTGGAAAGGTCGCCCCTTGTAGATTCCCTGGCCTTTCTCAAGGGCGAGAAGGCGCAGCAGGCGAGGCCTCTGACAACGGGATTATTTGATGATTACAAACTGTACAACAGTATTTACAATAGTAAGACTGCAAATCCGTGGAGCCTGGAGGGGAAGGGGTGGGGTGTGCAGGTGTGCGGGGGTGATGACAGGCATTGGGGTGACCATGGAGGCACTGTCCATCTTTCCGCATCTCTCTGAGAACAAGCATGACACAGCTTGGTTTGGGGGTATGAAGTTTGGCCTGAGCGAGAGGATGGAGGATGTGAGGAGAAGAGGGATGGATGGGCGGGCTGGACCTGGAGCTCCTTACATGAAGGGAAGTCTTGCTTGGTACTGCTGGGATTAAAATAAAATGGGAAAATTATGAGAGTAATAGACTTTCCAGTGGTTCACCAACTGGGGACCTGCCACCCTATTTCTTAATAAATGTGTGTGTTTTTCCATCCCGGGCTGCGAATCCTGTGTATGCCTTTGACACCCACAGCCTACTTGTGTGCTAGGCCCTGTTCCCCCAGGCACGGGGAGACCAGCTATGCCCTGGGTGGTGCATATCCTGGGTGGGGAGTCAGAGATGGAGTCCACGTGTGGGGAATGGACATGGCTGATGTGTGATGTGTGGCCTGAGCAGGCAGAAAGGCGCCCACAGCGTTGAGTTGCCTTCTGAAGGAGCCCTTTGCACAGGATTGTTGGCTTAATGCCATCTATCCGTGGCTTTCAAGTTTTGTTTTCTCCTTTCAAACCTCAGTAAGTTTCTCCATGTTGGGAGTCCTTAGGGGAAGGGGTTGGGCCAGGGCCCAGTGCCCATCCTCTACTTCTTCCTGTGGCTCTACAGCAAGTGGCCTTCTCTCCTCTCCTCCGGCTGCAGGCTCAGGGGGGACTTCCTGGGGGGAGGAGGGGGGAGGGGCTTTGAAATGTGCAGCCCTCAGGCTCCTGTAGCAGCGCCACCGCCAAGGCTGATGTCTGCTCACCCCTGTCCCTCACTCCCAGCTTCTAAACGCGAGGGCGGTGCAAACATCAGAGCAAGAGTTCTCGCCCAAACTGTGAACAGGAATTATTCTGTCCGTTTCTGTATTTCCTCGCATAGAAACCACCTCACTTTTCCCTCCAAGGACTTTGTGTGATAATGGCATTTTCCTATTTATGAGGCGTGCGAGTGACTTTTAGATGGTAGATGTGTAGCAAACGACCGATTCATGGTTATTAAGTGTCATGGCCCTTTCTAGGAGCCTGATACAAATGAGATGACTTAGATTCTGAAAGCAAGGAGCATGGGCTGCCACAGCGGGGAGCACACCTGTGAAAAGGCCAGCATCCTTGGAGTGAAGGATATTTGACTCTGGTGGTGTGACACTTCAAGCTTTTGTTTAATTATATAGTCGTTGTCTTGTCTTCCTTAATTTAGTAGAGAACAATCGTAACTCTGCCTCTACTCTTGGTGGTGAGTTTAACTTAGCAGGGAGAGTCTAGTGTGGTCTTGAGTTCCCTTCCAGAGACAGAGTCCGTGCTTTCCCAATCCACCAGAAAGCAGAGGTCTTTCCCCACAGCTGATGGGAGCTGAGTCTCTTAAAATCCTGTGAGGAAGAGGTCTTGATTCTAGGAGGAGCAGCATTTTCCTAGCGTAGATGAATTAAGATGTTTACATTCCTAGTCATGTTAGGTTCAGATGGCACTATTTCCACCCTCTCCCCTTCTGGGAAGACAAAATCATTTGTCTAGCACTCAGCCCTGGCACCAGCACTTGTCCCTCAAAGATATTGGTGTGTGTGTGAGTGTATGTGTTTGTGAGTATATGACTGTGTGAGTATATTTGTGTGTGTATGTGTATTTGTGTATGTATGTGCACGTGTTGTTCAAATGTCTTCCCGGCAGGCATCTGTTTGCCTGTTGTGTTGGTATCTGGCTACACAAAGCAATGCTTCATTGCTTTGAAAAATAAATACATAAATAAATACATAAATAAATAAATAAATAAATAAATAAATAAATAAAGTGAACACCAGAAATGGCTTCACAAAAAACCCATGTGAGAATTGCACATGGGACTGCTTTCATTCTGTCTCACTAGACATGTGGGGAGCGGGGGAGAGGACCTAGGGGGTTGGGACAGGATGCTGAAATAAAGAGAGCTGCGTAGGGAAGGGGACAGGGCCCCCAACAGTTGCAGGACACATCCTTCCCTCACCACCTTCCCTCATGCCTCCTCCACTGTGTGCTGGAGAAGCTGGGCGGTGGTGACTGGAGCCTCACCCCTGCCTCTGACTGGGGCTGGCTTCAGTGGTGCGCTGGCTAACACGAGGGTGGGGACATCTGCAGAGAGGGAAGGACAGGGTGACAGGCACCCCACATCTAGCCAGATAACTTTGATTTGGTTGGGAAACAATGTGAGAAAAAAATTCCTACTTTTATCTTCTTCCACTGTAGATCCTCGAGACATGGGCCTCTCCGTGGCCATTGTGAGTGGCTGAATTGGACACTTTTTTCCATAACATGGGAACACACACACAGGAAGTCAAAACATGCCTCTGTGCCCCATTTCTCCTCCAGTTCTCTCGGTGCTTACACTCTCCCCAGGCCAGAGCCATGTCTTTAAAATCGGAACTGGCCTGGCCTCTATCAGCACTTTTTTTTACTCCCCTGGTGTGGAAAGAGTTCCTTCTAAAACCAGCTGCCCTATCTCTTGGTCTCTTTGCTAAACTGCTTCTAACACTTAGGTGAAGATATTTCAATTCTCCGAGCCTGGTAAGGATGGAGGCTGTCATCTTCCTTAGCAACAGGTCTGATTCTGGTGTGATGAGGCTAAAACGCTGACTGCCCGGGCTCCTTAGGCCTAATTCAAGTTCTCGTTCTATTTCTTGGCCTTTAGGAGGGACGGGCCTCTGTAAAACAACCATCACCCTTTTGGTGACTTCCAAACTCCTCCTCTTCAGGTGCTTATTTCTCAGAAAGTCATTGCTGAGGCAGCGAGGCACACTTCTCCCCTGGTTGCTGGCTATGCCCAGAGCAGGCTAAGCAGGATCCCAAGGCCATGGCCACGCGGAAGTAACAGGCAGCTACACTGCAAGCAAGCTCCTGAGACTGGAGAGCAGGGCTCAGAGAAGAAGGAGACTGAGTAAGGAAGTCTTGCTCTTTTGTCCAGAGGGATGTCTATCAGACTAGAGGCTGAAGAAGGGACTGTAACTAATAACTTCTAAAGCAAAGCAGAGAAAAATTCATGAATCAAGCCAAAATCTAGGGGAAAACTCTCCTTTTACCTCCAGACCCAAAAGAATCTTCTAGGAACAGGCAGAAAGGAGACGCCTGGAAACCCCTCTGCCTAACGGAGCCATGCACACGAGTAATAATTGGTAACGGACCAAGGTCTGGATATAAAAAAGGCTGGGCTAATCGGAAGAAAATAAAAACAAAGTTCACCCAAACCCAGAACTTAAGCGGCCCTTCTGGTCCTCACTCAGCACTGTCTGCTTTTCTCTCGCTGCCCCAAGGTTTTCAGAAGATTCTACCACTTTGCTTCACAAGGTCATGGGGAAAGTTCTACATCAGCCAGTATACGGTGGATGAGGGTCATTGCTTTCACAACTGATTTTACTAGTCTGTGATGATGGCAGGCACCAAATGTCCATCCTGCACGAGTCCAGTCCGAGGTCAGGTTCAGAAAGACCCTAGACTGGGCGCTCCTTTCCTTCACAGCAGCGCAGGGCAAGGTGCCCTGGTCACGGCTGATGTTGGCACTGGTCTCATGGGGCAGGGAGAAAGGCCAGTTGGTCTTCTGGACAGAGTGGACTGTAAAGGAGAAGGGAGCCTTTGGGGAAAGTGGAGAAAAACAAGGGGCCATACTTAGGCAGGGCCCTGGGAGTAGCTGGAACAAGCCAGCCTGTGGCCCATGCTGCTGGCCAATGAGCTGTGGAGATGCAGATGAAAAGTCCAAAAGGAAACAAACAGAGTGTAGCATGAAAAGGGTGTGTGTGTGTGTGTGTGTGTGTGTGTGAATTAAGGTTCCAAATTTTATCTAGGGATCAAGTGTACAGTAAGAACCAGATATCAATCTAAAAGGGCTCCCTTCTCTATCATAACTGACATCTTAGGGGCACAGTGGCAGGCATTTTGGGAAACTAGACACAGGGTAACCTCTAAACCTAAAGTCTAGAAGATGTTAATGGCACTGAGATGGAATCAAGAAAGTTTGGATGGGTTGGGCTTGGAGAAACAGGAAGAAACTCTTCTGGTTTTAGACTAGCATTTAACCTGGGAGCTCCTGGCCCATTTCTCCACGTGTTCATGAATCAGTTCATGGAAACAAAACTCATCTTCATTGAGGAATGGACTTTCCCAACTTCAATGTCTAGTTTGCATATCTAAATGCCGAGAAAGCTGAGAGCACGCGGACTGGAAGAGATCCAATGGGTAAAGGCCAGATGAATGGTTGGGTCCTGTTTCTCCCAAGCCAACCCTTTTTGACCATCACTGCTGGAATGTACTCAGAGGGCAGCGTCATAGGGTGATGCAAACTGGCATGAGAGAAGCTCCCACAAAACCCCTGGTTCCACCACCCCTGTGAGCCCCTGATGCTGCGTCTCTTATGTGAGGTCCCCTGCACAGCTGCCACACACACCACGGGGCTCGGCAGGAAGTCCTGTCCCAGAATGAAGAGAAGATGGAGAGATGAGCAAGACAGAGCTGACTTTTGGACGGACACACATTTTTTCTAGGCCCTGCTGTCTGAGTTTGGGTAGACCAGTTGCCAGAGCCAGGATGCCCTTCCCCTCCTGCCAGCCCAACTCTCTTCCTGTCCTCTTGGTCAGTGGATACTTTCCTGAAAAGCCACTGAGCAAACCGCTGTGGGAGTGGAAAGTCAGCCACCCCTCCTCTCCTTTGGGGGACGCGGAGGCTAGTGCAGTGAGGACAGAGCCGGTCAGAATGCCTCACGACCCCTCACAGCAAGGGCTGTTCCTAGAGAAATACCCAAACAGAGAGCTGGTGCAGAGTAGATGGAGTGACGATTGGAGTGAGATATGACCTGGTCTCTCAAATGGGATGTAGTACAAATATGTCTGTCATATAGTTTTGGGAAAGTTGAGGGAAACAGAAGCAAACACAAGATATGCAAAACAGTAATGTCCAAACCTGTTGGTGGGTAGCAGAATAATGATTTACACTGGTGAAACCCTTGCTCATTGTACAAATTTAAAAAAAAAAAAGCCTCCCTTCCCCCAACCACATATAGAAAAGCACTTAAGAGTTCAAAGGTAAAGCTTGTCACACTCCAAATACAAAATGATTTACTTACATGCAGCAAAATATACAAGAGGTGAATTCAAAAACAAACTTAATTCATTATATTCGCTTGGCACAATTGCAATTCAATTTTAAAAAAATAATTGTAAAATACTGAAACTGACCTGAATTCAAGTATAACGGTTTCTTCAACAGAAACATTATCAATGCAATAAAACATTACACGGAATATATAGAAGCAAAACACCTTCTTGAGTTTTTCCTTAAATTTCTGTGTTTTTTTAAAATACAGTTTTAATGCCAACAAGACTCACAATTGTATTTTTAAAATGAATATTATTGCATTGTTTTTGCATATCTTGTGGGACAGAAAATGCAAAGTTACTGATTCCTGTTTCAGAAGCAGAGACAGTGATTTGTTTTTGCTCTCAAATGGCCCTGGATTCAGATCCCCCCAGTTAACCCAGAAACGGGGCGCTGCACACTCACAAGGTGCAGGGCCCCCGCGTGGGTGCACGTACACACGCTGACACACGCAAACAGACAACCCACGACATGCGGATCACACTCAGAGACTCTCAAACGCGCTTCCTCTCTTCCAGCCACCCATACACCCAGCGTGCGAGAGAACCCCTCACCCCTCACTCACCCATCTGTGCAAGACCCTGTGAAGTGCATTGCTGATTACCTTTAAATTACAAAACCAATCGAAAACCATGTTTACTACCTACGGAAACCATACCAGTTACTGGGCATACACAACGTCCAATAAAACTCTCCCACGTGGCTGCCAGGACCATCGGTAGGAAAAGGCAGCCACACCCGTTTAATGACACCATCCAACCGGACCCGGTTTACATTTGCAAGAGTGAAACAGTGAGAGGGTGGCTACTGAACTTAGCAAACACTTCTCTTCCTCCCCTCCTCCTGGGAAAATAAAATAAAAACCCCAAACAACAAAATGAAAACTGCAACATGCTGTCAAGAGAAATGTCAAACCACAGGACAGAGGAGCGCTCAACAGAATCAGCTTCTCCTGGCTTTGTCCAGTGCTGGCTGCCCCTTCCTATGGGCAGTGACGCCCCACTTGCCGCAGGCTGGCCGGCTGCCGGGCTGGGCTTCCAGGCTGGGGCTGGTGGCCCGTGAGGAGAAGGTGATCCTGATGTAGGTGGATGGCAGCTGGCGATTGGGGGTGGAGGTGGAGCAGCTGCCTTCTTGCCTAGCGCCCTCCCTCCGGGCTCCCAGCTCCTGGCCCCCTGCTGCTGGCTCTTCCCTCTCTGGTGGGGGTGGGGTGAAAGTCATGCCTGCCTCCTTCTGCAGATCCACAGGGCCCTGGCTCTATGGGGACAGTGAGGCTCGTACACAATATGTGCAAAATGAGTTTTGTACAAGCAAAGTTGAAAGACACCCGTTTGACAAAGGTCCTTTTCGGTGGGGGCTGCCACAGGAAGCTGAGGATCTCTTCTGTGCCCAAGGTGAAGGCTGGTTCCTGGTACAGGGCTTGCTAAACCACAGGAGGGCAGGAGGCCTTCTCTCCCTCCCACCCTGACCCTTTCACCTCCTCTTCCTTCTCCTCACCACTCTACCTCCTTGGACACAAACTGGGGTTGCTGCTTTTCTTCCCCCCCCCCAAAGCTGACTCTCCATACCACCCAACTCTGTGTCTTGTCCCAACGAAATGAATGAAGACGCTGTCCCGTTAACTCCAGGTCACGAGAACAGTGAGGCACTTCTGAAACGAACCCTTTAGGAACATTGAGACAAATAAAAAACCCAGCATCTCCCAGCCCAGCTCCTACAGGCTGCTGACGTAGGCTCTGCTGTCCTGCAGCTCCTCCTGGCTCTGCTGAGGCTCTTGGCTGGGCCCACAGGGCCCGGGCTCCTCGCCCCCTGCTCCGTCCTGCCCCTGGTCCCTGCAGTTAACAAAAGGTAATAGGGTGCCGTTGGGGCTCTGCTGGGCGCCCCCGCTGAGGATGTTGTCTGCGGCGCTCTCCATCTCCTCGATGGTCATGTCGCAGGCGTCAGCCAGCTCCTGGGTTGTGACCTCGATAAACTTGGGGTCTTGGGCAAACTGCCCCAGTCCTTCCGAAATCAAGACCTGAAGGGGGGAGGGCCATGAGGAAAAACCAAAGAGGAACATTATTCCTGCAGCTCAACCCTTCTGTTTAGGGTTAGAGCAAAGGACTTCGACTGGAGACTTAGGGAGTGTGTGCGCGAGTGAGTGCATGAGTGTGTCCCGGGTGCTCAGAGGAAAGGAGGGAGGTTCAGGGTGTACAGGCTAGAGGAGAGACCTTCAGGCTGGCGTCCTCAAAAACTCACAAATACGTGAACACTTGGCTCACCAAGGAGCTACAGGGGGTAGTCTCACAGCAGCGGGTTCTACCTTCTGCCCTTGCTGTTCTCCTCCCTGGCATCCCATTTTATTCTTTCCCAGAAACCTTCATTCACCTTTGGTGAAACTGTTTTGCCGACTGCCCGCTGCCTGTCTGTGGGTGCGGATTCTGAGTGTGACGTGTGCAAACACCGCACTTGCCGCTGCCTCCTCTGCTGCCTCTGCCAGGAAGGGCCAGTGGGCACAGCCAAACTCCTCCCTCCTTCCTGGAGGCTAGTGCAGTGACTGATTTGGGGGGATCCACCAGGGGCCAGTGGGCAGGGGAAGCAATGGAGGGAAGCACAAAACACTTTTCTCCAAGTCCTATAGGCCCTGCTCCCCCCATGACTCTTTATCTTGAGTAATTTTTAATTTTTCTCCATCGCTCCACCCTGCCCAGCATGCTTATTATCGCTCTTTCCTCACCAGCACGTGAGCTCATCAGAGAAGACACCCTGTTCCTTAGAGGTGGCCCCTCTCCTCAGACAGTCTACACACGGCAGGTCTCAGTGGAGATGTGCGGTCTAATAAGGGGCAACACAGGCGCTTGAAGCACAGGGTTTTGAGTCAGACGGCACGTGGGAAGCCACCTGGGTTAGCGCCCACCTCCTGCGGCAGCCTGGTGACTGGACAGGCATCGCCTCTGCTTGCACATGTCAGTGACGGGGCTCCCTATTGCACAGGAAAGCCCTGGTTTAGGAAGATCGCCTGTTAGCTACAGCCTGCCTGTCAGGCTGGCCCGGGCACTCCGGTCCTGCATTTAAGACTCTTGTCCACGACACTAAGCCTCACAGGACTGAGATGCAGGTCAGGGCTCCTTTATTGTGGTCCTCACCCGAGGATATGTTTTTATTTTTAGAGTGAGTGGAAGGGAGGGAGAGAGAGAAACACTGATATGAGAAACATCAGTTGACTGCCTCCCATATGCACCCTGACTGAGGAGCGAGCCCACAGCCCTTTGGTGTATGGGAGGAGGACGCGCCAACAGGCCAGCGTGGGGGATCATGGCTTCGTTAGTCACCTCCTTTTACTTTCCCAATCCCTCAACCAGTTCTCACACAGAGTAGTTTCTAGGGACCTTGCCAACCCAGCCATCCTCCTTTGGGACAGTTCCAGTTTGCCAGAGGTGCCCCGAGATATGATGCCAGGACTGCAATTGGTGCTCTGACCAGGGCCGAGCACGGTGGACCCGAAGGTGCTCTTGGTCTAGACTAGAGGCTCTCAACTCTGGCTGGGAATTAGAATCATCAAAGAGTTTGTTTTATTTTTTTAAATATCCATTTAATTGGTCATAGGTTTCCAAGCCTCCCCCACTCCTCCCCCCAGAAGTCAGACACGATTCTGCACACGGGCAGCCCACGCTCACAGCTGGGCCCTGCTGGCATGCCCCGTGTGCGTGGGGAAGCCCACAGCTTGCTCCAGCTACCCTGGCCTGTGGTAGAGATGTGCCACTCCGTTTCTCCCTCCTCTGCCTCATCCCAGTCCCAACAGTCCAGAATTCCCTGCCTGCCACACCGTCCTGCTGCCAACTCTGACACTCAGGGCCTCTCAGGCCAGGAGACTGACACCCAGTCCACTTGGGAGACAGCCGGGGACCCGTTTCTTGATGCTCCAGGCAAAGTGCCCTGCTGCCTCGGGCCTTTCCTCCCCCGTGCTCAGGGTCACTTACTGCTTCCACCAGGCTGCTGGCGCTGCCGTGGAACTGCCGGCCCCAGGCCCCGGCCTGGCTGGGCACAGTGAGGGACACCGGCCGGGCTCTCCGTGTGGCGCTGCTGCCCGCCTCGCAGGGCGTGGGCTCCCCCGACCAGGAGCCGCAGTGGACGGATGGGAAGCTGCTGTTGAGCTTCTCGGTGGACTCTGTTCCTTCCAGCCGGAGGGTGGGGATGGGCTGCGGGGGCCAGCCGCGGCTGCTGGGCGTGGCCGGGGGGGTGGCACACGGCCGGGGGAACGTGGTGGGGGAATGGCTTCTCTGGAGGAGGGGGCTCAGGCCCGCCACTGCCAATGCCTGTGGACACACAAGGAGCACAGGTTACCCAATGGTCAGACCGGGGCAGGCCTCTCAGCAGCTACTGCTCGCAGCTGGTCCCAGCCGCCTGGAGCTCATACACCACCATGTCACCCACCTGAATCCTACCTCATCAAGACCCAGTGTAAACGTAAACTGTCCTAAAACGCATTTTCTGATGACCTCAGTCTGAAGTAACCCTATCTCCTCTAAATTCCAAAAGTTGTGACACCTGCCCATCAGCACTGGCCCCGCCCCGCCAGCTGTGAGTTCTCCCCCTTTGGCTTCCTTGTCAGTTGACTCGAGAGGATGTGCCTGTGTCACCTGCACAGCCACACACAGCGCCCACCGGCCCCCTGTCCTTTGGGCTGATGTGAGGTCCGAGTGAAGGAGGGTCTGCGAGAA